TTGATTACAGATAAGTAAAATAATTAAACCATAAATTGTCATTTCAAGCAGACTGTTGAAATGATAAGGACTATGGTATACCTTGTTGATCAGTAATATGAAGACTTGACTTTGAGCTTGTAAAACGCTTATTTGTTGACAACCATGATGTTCGAGTCAACACATCAAGTGATGGAACAGAAACTGGTGAGTATGATGTCTTGCTTGAAATTTCAAAGCTTGGAGATGTACTCATCCTCCTACCATCTGAACAAGTTTGGGACTGACTGACTGACTGAGTTTGGTTTTACGCCGCTTTTAGCAATATTCTAGCTTAATCACGGCGGGGACACCAGAAATGGGCTTCACACATTGTACCCATGTGGGGATTCGAACCCGGGTCTTCGGCGTGACGAGCCAACGCTTTAACCACTATGCTACCCCACCGCCCCAACAAGTTTGGGAACCTGTACCAGCAACACTAGCAACCGATGCGATACAGCCCGCAACACAGGAACTGAGTACAGTTGAAGAGATTGCACACCATGAGAGTAGTGTCAACTTGTTAAAGGCTGATAACAAAGCTGAAGAACCTGGTCAAGTGGTCAAGTTGATCAATGTATTCCTTCACCGAGACAAGGTGGACCTTTAAGTATGCATCTTTCAGAAAACGTAATTTAATTTTTAGCTCATCAGGCCCGAAGCATGGCAAGGCGTTCGGCGGGCGGCAGTCTTTCCGTCCATTCATCCGTCAGTCTATCCTTAAACCTTTCGCTTTTTCAATTTATTCTCAAAACCGCTGGCTCTAGACAGCTGACATTTTGCCAAATCAGGATTAAAATTGTAGATTTGGTAACCCTATTACCCTAATAGAGACCACAGGTGCCAAACCCTAAATCTATTTTTTGTCATAAAATTTTTGTGTGACGGTTCCATGGGTCAGTGGGGATTATGAATTGTACATATGGTGACCATGCAGCCATTATATAATAGGAGCCATAGCCCCAAAATACTATTTTTGACTTCTTGTCCATAACTAAAAGTAACAGAAAGCATAAATATTAATGATATCATTTAATCTAAAGCCAGATGGGCTACAGAGCCACTTGGCTCTATTTTTGGCGTGCTTCTTTTACCTGATTAAAATCAGAGAGTTAATAATCTATTCAAGTACATAAAGTAACATTTTGACTACAATCTAAGTTCTAAGGTTGTTCCGTGATATAAGATATTAACAGGAGAAAACTAAAAAATGTTTACTTTATGGTATACGTGGGTGTTTTAGCACTGTGCAGCGGATAAGAACTGATGATGTGCCACATTATCCAGAATTAGTCATGCGGCACTTGCGGGAGGGGACACCAGAAATTATATGGAACAATCTTGTCAATGAAACTGCCGAATATTATTTTAACAAATACATCTTTATCAATGAAGCATGTCACCATAGGGCAATTGGGAAAAGCTCTACTCTAAAGGCCTTGCATTAAAATGGAAGGTCTTCATTCGTGGGTGAGTAATTCTTTAAAAGTGCATTCTAAAAAAGATTCTATAGTCATGTTTAAGTAACAACTAAAACGCCAATATAAACACTGGCAAAACGTCCAAGTCGCGTTTTCATTCTAAATCTCATATTGTAACATCATTAAATGCAGTTGTAATTAATCACAAAATATTTAAGCAACTATTGCTAGATACTTCAGCTTCAACTAATTCATTTTATGCATTTTGTTGTCTCCTCACAGTACATATCTGACTGGCATTGCTTTGGATTTATTCCCTTCTTGAAACATATATTTACTATATTGATACAACACGCATCTAATGGTTTTATAACGGTCAGTGATTATTAAATCACAACCTTGCATTCCAGACTACATTTGTCAAGGTTTTATCAATGAAAATAAGGAAAATGAGTTTCCTTGTTTCAGAGATGCGACATGTTTAGGCATTTTTGTTAATTGATGCTGTTTTCTATCAGGTTTATAAGAACTTGAGTATAGATTTAGCTACAAGTTTTAATCGTTTTACATACTTTTTTATGAGATAATCCATACTCAAGGTGTTCATTCACAGATGGAAGGTGTTGAGTTTATATCCAGTGAACCATGCAAAAGTATGGTCTTACAGAAATGTTCATCATATTAGCAACCTAATGATGACTTATTTACGTTATTTGAGCATAAACAAAATATTTCAGAAATTCAGACATGTGTTTCTTATTTGCTTTTGATGGTATTTTACCTTTTTGTTATCTTTTGCTTAGTACCTTTCAAGCATAGCTAGCCCGACTGGCTTGCAAAATTTTGAAAATGTTTCACACAATGCTTGAGATAACTGGAATACTGTTCAAAGTAGCGAAAACCTCTCACTGACTGTCGAAAAGTGGTTAAGGTTTCTCTGTGTTGAGGATTTTATTTTGCTTCCATCAATAAGAGAAACATGGGTTGTCAGTTACCTTTTTTAGAATTAGCCATTAAGCCGCCATTGTCGAATAGGAACTATGAATTGGGAGTTTTGAAAAGGTCGACATGGAAGCAACCTACTTCAAGTCGTACGTGTGTGGCTGGAGAAATTACAATTTCATTAAAAGAAATCAGAATTGGGGTTTCCTTTAAGTGTACCGATTCCATATGCTGCTTGGAAAAAAAAACAGTTTAAATTTTAATTTCTGTGTTTACTATACACATGTTGTTCTTGAAACCTCCTGTGACGCCTTCAGTTTGTCTTCTGTTGCCTTCGTACTACTGATCCAACTTGCTGGGTTCAAGTATACTTGATTACGTGATAAAAATGGATTCGTGGTAATCCAGCTGTCATACAGACCCTAATGCGAATATACAAAATACAGCCAACGGAAGTGTAGAAGGTCTAGATAAGAAAGTCTCCGGGGTCTTTTTTTATTATCATTTTATGTATGGTGATAGTCTGGATTCATGGTTTCTAGCAATGTTCAGACTTTATTCACTGTAAAATGAGGCGAAAATGTTATAAAAACAATGACTGATAAATGCATTTTAAAATCCAAAACTGTGTTCCACAGGAGATATCGCTGTTGTGAGATCAGGGATGTCGTTTTGACAGTAGATTTTGTACAATGCCCTGACAATGCTATGACATCATCAACTTGACGTCACAATGCTATGACATCGCTGCACTGCAAGTCTAATGGGTATTCTAAGATGCCTAGCTGTTAGAACAATCGAAAAAAAATACATTATCAGACAATAAAGGTATAGTTTTTTGATGACGTTGATGCCAAATTTAATACTTTCTAAAGCGTCCTCGTGCTTTAACTATAATAGTACAGGGCAAAAGTGTGTTCTATTACACTATACATGGTGGTAGAGCGAAGTGTATTTCTTAAAGGTCACATGCAACGTGAAACGCAACTTTGCAGATTCTGATACCTTTCGGTATCGACTTACCGAAACAAATCGTCAAAAATGCAAATTCAGCTTATAAAGTTGAAAAAAAAACCGCTCGAAATCGGAGTTCAAACGTTTCACTAATTTTCCCCCGACTTTTCTGGGGGAAACTGGTTTCAACAGCTGGGCTGCGCTCATAGCACGTGCGCAGTGAAATAGGTTCGCGCAGCTTGGAAGCGGGTTGTCCGGTGAATACTCGGTGAAGGCTTTGGTGTGAGCTATTTTTGTAATGTTTTGTTGATATCTCACAGGCGCGAGCTTTTTATATGTTATGATAGTAAATTAACTGTTTACATAATTTCATTTGTCTATTTCACCACACGTTCTTCTTACCGAGTCACTTTCTCAGTTCGATACTTAAAAGCAATGTCATTATTTAGCGTTGACAGAATTTCTAACTGTGATATAGATATGTCGTTGTCACAGACAAAACTCAATGTCTTGTTTTATTGACACCTGTGTGTCTGCCTGCCTGTCTGCTAATGACAATATTCAATACACAGCTGCTATCACTGACCACATGCAATTTGCACTGAACACCAATCAGGCTATACACCATAAACAAAATGCATTGATTTATGGCCCGAGTTCGGTCTCTGTCACATTATGTAATTACACAGACAGGCAGGTGTGATACTTGAACACATGACATGTTATGATGTCTGTTGATTGCAAAATGTTATACACAAAAAATGAGCCTGTATTTACAAAACCCAACATCTCCATATATACACACACAATGAGCCGTGAGGGAATCTGCAAACGAACCAACCGTTACACTTGAGTGCACACCCACCCGCTCTGACTCGGTTCGGTATCCTGGCTGCTTCGTTTCTTGGGAAGTAAACCCAAGTACACAATATTGCAGTTTTGATTTGCGATTGTACGCTTATAATTTTGTTTATATGTTTTTTCATAACCGGCAATACATATTATGTGTCATGAATAAGTGATAATTGTGTTTTAATTATGTTTGATTTTTTGGTTGCATGTGACCTTTAAGTACAATGTTGAGAGATGTACATTTGTCATTGAAAGCTAATGAAGAATGATTTTTGATGATAAATAGAATCTCACCCTCGTGTCTACTGAGGCAAGCCTCGGATATTTGTAACTTTATCAACTCGTGTTGATATAATTGATATCTGTAGACACTTGGGTGAGATTCTCTATACATCACAGTCAGAGGCAAAGAGTGTATAATGGAGTTGCTGCAACAAGTAATGTAGTTTCACTGAAAATGCTTATTAGGTTCTTACGCGATAACGGATTACTGTCACCCGTCTACATTAATGAATAATGACGTTAAACTTGCAGCGCATACGCACAGTACAACCAGTGTACAATAACAAAAGCTCTTAACCAGCGCGTGCACTCGAAATCGCTGTTCAGAGTGTACAGAGATGAACTTTAAAACGAATTACGTCTTAGATATATATAATTGAAATGTGAAAGGTTCAACACAAAACACAGATAAGCATCGATTATTACTTCATGCTATATATAATGGCAATATTTTATTTTATATCAATAAAACTTGATAATTAAGAATATTCCGCTTCCGCATTACAATCTCCTATTTGACAATGTTATACGCGAGCTCTTAATTAGTAAACAGACTGATCGCAACAGAAGAACGGTTTGGAATATTCTCCGGTAAATAGGTGATCTTTTAACCATTCTTGATGTCAGCAGCTGATCATTTGAACAGAGTCACCCTGCGCATGACATGTCAACTATTTGTAGGCCAAAGGCAAATTATTCCATGTTTTTTATAATAGTGTAGGTTGAACAGCACTAGGAGTATCAGGCCAAGTCGACTGTCCACAGTCCAGAACTGAAGAAGAAGAATCTATATCACATGTACATAGACAAAGTGTGTGTTCATGTTTCTCCGCTAATGTCTACCATGCATCGTTCTGATAAGTATTGATCTTGTCGATGGAACTAGCTGCTACTGACTGGTAAAATGTTTTAGGCTCACAAAGACGTTGGGAACGTTCGTTTTTCCAACATTACCGACATCATAGTAAACACACTAAAGAAAGGCAACTGACTATAACATTTCTCATACGTATGTTTAACAATGTGAAAAAGATTATGTAAACCAAGATGTGTGATTCCTGACATTATACATTGTGGAGTTGTACAAAATTATGGACTGCCTGTAAATTTTCTGATACTTTGTTGAGTGAACTGTTCATTACAGATTGAAAGACTTATGCTACACTATATGAAGAGTTGCTCTTTTGTTATATTGGCGTTGTCAACAAATGGCATAGTTTTGCACTGAGCTAGGGCAGTATAGCATTTAGGCCATGTATATCCCAGTCTGTGTCACTAACATATACATGAGTCTTCATGTCACTTCATTACATCATTTTCAGTATATCTCAGTATTAATGTATATGCTTTTGTCAGCAGATCTTACTTTACTGAATGAAATTTTACCAGACTATCTGCTAAAGTCACTGACTGATATCCCCAGTATGGTACATTGCTACTTATAATTTATATAGCAATCAGCCACGGTAGACAATGATTACACACTGAACAGTTTTGTTGCAGAATCATCAGCTGCAATGTTGTATCAGCATCACAGTTACAGGGATGCTGTGGGTATATGTGGAATATGGACAGATATGCACTACTATTCACCTACCAGTTTTCCCATTTCAAAAACATAATAAAAGAAATCCTATCCTATTTGTTTGCGAACACAGCAAGATTTGCAATGTACATTCACACAATTCAGACATGATAGCATTTAAAATAACACCATTTTTACATGGCAACATTTTTACATAGACAACATTTTTGCAAGTTTTTACCATTATTCATAATTGAAGGTTTCCAAATCGGCACAGCATCTGTAAATACACAGCTGTTCATTCTTTTGTTGTGTTGTTATTTTCAGATGATGATGATTTTTTACAGTAAAATATTTCAGAATGGCTGATGCAGCATCAAACTGTGGTTAAAACTCCATCATCATTTAAAACTCTTCTTCTTCTTGGTAAGTATGGCCAGAACAGGTGGAGCACTGTGAAAATATTAAAACATATATATAATGGACAGAACAAACATTTCCGCTTTTCACCAGTGAAATACCCAGATGTGACAGGGTTTGGGGAAGGAGATATGCATGGATTGCCTAGTTGTCCAAGCAGTGCAGTGCAGAGTTGCTTCCCTTGGGCATACCAGGAGCCTATGATTTTCGGTTTAAATGCAGGTTAACTGTGATGAGTCATATTTCTAGATTTGTCATCAATATACCCTTAGTGACTTCGGTTTGTGTCATCATCTCCTGACTGTATTGGACAATGTTCTCAATATCAATCATTGGTTTGTCTGTATTAGACTTGATCATTTACAGACCAGTATCACGATGCTGGAATGATACTGAGTGTGGTGTATCACTGTGGTGTATCATCATGTAAGCATATATAGAGAATACTACACGAGGCCTCATTACATACAAATTATACGAAACGAGTATCCTTCCCAGAAACCATAATAAGGTCACGAGTTTCGTATAATTTGTATGTTATGAGACCGAGTGTGGTATTTTATTTATTCCCCATGTCTTACATGCTTTAAATTGACAAAATAGCGTATTTTTGTTATTTTTATGGTTTCATAAAGAGGTTGCGGAAGAATGTTGTTCTGTAGAACACTTTTTGCATGACGTCACACTGTAATGACGTCACTACGCCTTGCTTGTCTGCCTCCTTGGTAACCAACGTCAAGATGCATGTCAGTTGTCATCGCCTCGTACCGCCTCCTACATTAAACTACTCCATAGCACCCCGTGTCTTAGTTTGCAGCTGCTTCTTTCAGCTAACATCCCTGGTGGAAACTTTGCGATTATGTTTTTCGACGCATATAATGCCTCAGTTCGACTCATAATTAAACAGCGACACGGCAACATTCGCACTGTTTACATTCCCACAATGCATATAAGTTGTAGAATGAATGAATTCACGTGTTTGTTATGAATAAAAAAGTAGTTCCGTCACAACGCGACCTAATTGAGATGCCATCGGTTATCCAATCAAATCGTTAGAATCTCAGGTCAAGTCGTTACGACACAGGTCAATGCGATACGAGACTCGTGTGACTTACGAGATTAGTATGCACCTACCCATACGTTGACCACGTGGGTAATAAATCAACATTCTTCCCACAGCAGTAATCACAGGTTCAGTTTGTAAAACCACTGTTTAGCACATTTTCATGACTCACTGAAGATATGTCATTTTAGTTCTGTATCCTATGATCTATACTTTAGCTTGCATCTCAGAATGGCTAAAAAGACAAACCAGTGACATGGCCAAATATTTGTTAAGTGTGGTATTAGACATATTATGTAACAAACAGAACAATTATATTGGGATACCCTGGACTAGTTGGAGTGAATGAACAACAATGTTGTGAAACTATTTCTCAAGGATTGACTGACACAGGCTAAGTCATCCTTAGCGAATGATTGGGATGTTTTTAAACTGAAAAAAAACCCCATGTTGTGATGTCTAAGATTTCAGAATGTAAGTATTCATCATCAGTAATAATGTTTCTCGTGTTCATCATCGTGTACTTAGCCAATCTATTTTCCATGAGTAATTGCTTGATGATATTTCCAGCTGCCACAGAAGGAAAGGGAAGCTGAGCAGACAGGATGAGTTGCTTCCAGGGTCTCATGTGGGAGTACACCAGTGTGTCTCTGGACCGCTTTGATGGCCGCAATCTCTCCTCCACTGTCTTCTTCCTCTCCCACTGTCATAAAGGTGAGTTAGCATATAGTTAAGCAGGGTATGAAACTCCCAAACATTTCAGCCAGACCACAGAGCTGGTTAGATGTAAAACTTGCCAGCCCTGACCAAAACTTACCTGCCCGCAAAAAATACTAATATACTTAGTATAATTAAATCATCATTTATTTTTACGAGTGAATTAATTATGATTTATAATCCTGAAATATGATGAATATCTTCATGTACATGTCAAAATTTTAACCCGACCGTTGGGCAGGTGAATTTTTTAGGATCTGGCAGTCCCTTTTGAAAATAACCCGTCCCGGACAGTCGGGCAGGCAGGTAGTTCGAATGCTGGGTTAAGGATGTTTTGGGGGACCTGAGTTGACATGAGGTCATGTTTGTTGGTGGAAATTACAGAAGACTTACACCCAATACACATATAATTTGAAAACAGAGACACAAAAAATGCTGAGTGCAAGCTCTGGGACACCAAAGATTCGTATACATCTAAAGGAATGAATGCTGCCATTTTATAATTTCCATATGCATGATATGTGATCATTTAAACATATGATACACATTTAAATTATTCATGATGATTAAGTATTGGCACTTCATTTCAGTTTGGGAACCCTATATCTAATTTTGTCCAATGGCCTCTAAGCACTATCTTGTGTCACTTGTACACATTGCATGGATCATGTTTTTGAGATATTGGTTAGGTGAGGTGAAATTGGGTTTAACGTCGTGCTTGAGAATATTTCGTGCATATGACGACGTACATGCGTGTGCATGTGTATGTACGGCTGCTTGTACTAGCTCAGACTTAAGCTGGTTTTATAGTGCTAGCCCACTGAGATATTTCAATTACTTAGATTGATGCTTATAATGTTGATCACTAGATTGTTTGGTCCAGTCAAGTCAAACACACAAACAATCCTTCTTTTTCTGGTGTACATTACTCAAAGAGTATATATATCCATATATCCATATCTACTCTGTATCTTTCACCTGAAGAAGAAGTAAGTACTAACTCCAAAACATCAAGGTAACAAGATAAACAAGTTGATATCCATCTTTGACTCTAACAGTCTCAGAGCATATACAGTCTTGTCTCACTGCTGATAGTGGATTGTATTCAGTGTCGGACATTTCACTGGTACAGTCAATGTGGTGTAGTTCTGGGCCCACAGAATAAATATCCCAGGTAAATTCTTGTAGTTGATCTGGTAATTAAATACATGGTCATTCATCTGACATGTCTTCTTTTAGATCACATGGTGGGTTTGCACTCTTCAAGATTTCATGAAAAGTTACAGTCAAGGTAAGTTATAGCTTACTAATGTGCTCACTGCATCTTTTACTCTGACAAGATACTCTTCAGATCACTGGATTATCTGGTCCAAACTCGGTTATTTACAGACCACCACTGGTATATTGCTGAGTGCGGTGACATCGTAACCATGGTAACTGTGACATGTATCTGTGACTCTATTGCAGGATGGACATCTTCTTGTACTGCTCTGCTGTGACACAGACTCTGCTGCTGACCGACCCACAGTACATGCACCTCCGCAAGTTCATAGTGAGTCTCTCCACTTGTCAGCTGTGTTTGCCCGTAACCCTGAAAAACTAAGGAAAAAGTTGTGGGTCATGATCAGATTGTGTAGGCCCTATATTTTAAGATGGAAATAATACTCTCAGTTATTGGGGATTAAAAAGCTGTCGGCCATAAGGACCTGCTTAAAAGAAAAGCTGTGGGTCTGAGTGGTTTTCAGTCGGCCTCAGGCCTAAGGATCGACGTTTATTCGAATTCTGCTTGTCAGCCATTGAAGTCTCCGAAGACATCGCAACACATTTATTTCTTAAGTAAAAGGCTTCTTATGCAAATCAATAAACCATGCAATTCAGAATATTTTAAGTTCTTTTATCCTCATGCATCAATTCCGTGTCTAGTTACCTCCTCAGCTCCTATAGGGGAGCATCGATTGTGTCACTGTTACTGATGGCTAGACTATTTAAATGTTCCATGTCTGTTTTCGATGAACTTAGTTTGCTTCATGAAAATTTCCGCATGAAAATGTGTTCACTAAATTTTGCCAATTTCAGAAAGTTTTGGATGTTGGCGTTCCGACTACAGTCACAATTCCTGACAAAGGTGGTGATGTCAAGAAGGTAAGGCTTGTCAGGATTAATCAAAACCAGGTATGAAGTGAGTGAGTGTATGTTTTTAAGCCACTTTTAGCAATACTATGGATGGGTGTACAAATAATGGGTTTCACAAGGTGTAACTATGAAAGGAATCAAACCCAGGTCTTAGGCATCATGCCAGTGTGCAAAATAGTTTCCAAAATATTGCTAGCCAGTTGGGCTAGCTATGCCTGAAAGTTACTCACCCACAAAATAATTCACTAGCCCAAAATTTGAATGTAGAAACGAGGCAAAAGATTACAATAAGGTAAAATACCATCAAAAACAAATCAGAAAACACATGTCTGAAATATTTTGTTTTTGCTCAAATAAGTCATCATTAAGCTGCTAATATGATGGACATTTTTATCAGGACATAATCTTGCATGACTTAAAAGTGTATTATAACCTAACAAGTTGGAGAGAGTGATATACATGTATTTACAAAATGACCCCATGAAATTTCACTAACCAGTCGGGCTGGTGACTGTGGAGATTTACTGGCCCGAGTGGATTTTTACTAGCAACAGGCTAGCGGGCCAGTGGCTATTTTGCACTCTGCATCATGAGTGAATGCTTTTTAGCTTCTTGGATTCCCCCAAACACCCATAAAGAATTATGTCTCAGATTATAATTTTGTTATTTTTAGAATTTATGTGGAAATCAGGCTTGATAGCATATCGTCATTGTCCAAAAAATGACCTGACCTGAAACCTAGAGGGTGACATGAAATATGTTTGTAAACATGCCAGATCTTCATTTTGATAGTTCAAGAATAACTTCTTTTACTGAACAACCTTTCACCACCAGCTGTATTATTAACCATTGTAACTGTCATTGCTTTCCGTTTCAGGTGTCCACAGTGCTGGTCACTCCTCTGGGGGCTGGACATTGTCCGGGATCACTCATGTAAGACAAATACACATTGGTGGTCAGTTTGGAATAAAAATGTAAAATAATAGACTCGTGGTCATGCCATATTTTTGTGTGTGTATATGTTTGTGAGCAGATAATGGGGAGACAAGTAAACATTGTTGGTCACACCTCTAGGGGCTATTCATTGTCCAGCGTTACTCATGTAAAATAAAAACATATTGGTGATCAGTTTGGAATAAAAAAAAGTAAAACAATACACATATGTTCATGGTCTACTTGGGGCGGTGGGGTAGCCTAGTGGTTAAGGCGTTGGCTCATCATGGCAAAGACCCGGGTTCGAATGGGTACAGTGTGTGAAGCCAATTTCTGTTGTCCCCCGACATGATGTTGCTGGAATATTGCTAAAACCGGCGTAAAACCAAACTCAGTCAGTTAATCATGGTCTACTTTTTGTCTGTAAATATTTGATAGCAGCTGATAGGGACACGTGTAAAATAGTGCTGGTCACACCTCTAGGGGCTGGACATAATCCAGGGTCACTCATTTAAGACAAATACACAGTCAGTTAGAATGTAAACGTAAAACAATATACAGAGCTCCAGATAAGATTTAGCTCATGTGGGTACTGTACCCACTGTATTTTTTGAGAGTGGGTATTATGAATGTTGAGTGGGTATTTCATTTTCAGATTACCCACTGCTTTCAAATATGTGCGTATTTCAGCCATTTTACTCACCTAAGTATTATGTCATTGAGTAAGTTTACTAAGCAGGTATGTTCTGCCTTATGTCATACCTAATCAAAACTAACTTAAATATAATGGAAATGATTTCACAAAAAAAATCACTCATCCTGTACTGACAGTTCAACACTTGTCCTATACTAACAGTACAACTTGATAGCAATCGATGTCTTTTTCATTACGCAAGCCATTTTTATAAATATATTCCGTACTCATTTGTTTTAAACTTTTTGCGTATCTAACATTTTAAATGCATAATTGGCAAGCAACAGTTATTTTTCAACGCGTAATTGGAAATTTTCTATGCGTATTTTACTCGGATACGCAGCTTATCTGGGCCTCTGAATATACTCTTGGTCATATGTTTGTGTGTGTATATTTGTGAGTAGCTAATACAGAGACGTGTTTACAGGTTTCTGTTTGAAGGAAAAGAAGGGACATGCTTGTATACAGGAGATTTCCGCTGGGAAACCAACCATGCACAGAATCTACAGGCCTTTAAGTCGGGAGACAGGTGAGGGGACAACTCAGCATCACTGTGAGATGAGGAATAGTGTTTACTTCAGATGACTAGCTTCAATGTAATTAACATGCCATATGAAGCACTTGAAACTAGAGAATTGCATTAACTCAAGTATTTGTGCTATGCTTTTCCTTGCATACTTAATTGTCCCCTGCCGCAATGCGGAATGGAGGACTATGTATTCAGCAGAGTACGTCCATCCGTACGTACGTATCGTCCTGATTCTTGTTAACACGATATCTTATGAACTGTTGTACCCAATGACTTCAAATTTGGTGACAGCCTACATTCGGTGATTACGCAGACACCAGTTGATTTGGGTGACCATGACCTTATTTTCAAGGTCACCACGTTACTTTGACCACTTTTCAAACTCTTGTTAACGCGATATCTCATGAACTTTTGTACCCAATGTCTTCAAATTTGGTGACAGCCTACATTGGGGATTATGCAGACACCGGTTGACTTGGGTGACCTTGGCCTTATCTTCAAGGTCGCCATGACACTTTGAACACTTTGAAAAACTCTTGTTCAGATGATATCTCATGCACTGTTGTACCCAATATCTTAAAATTTTGTGACAGCCTGGGGGATTACGCAGACACCTATTGACCTTTTCTTCAAGGTCACCACAACACCAACCACTTTTCAAACTCTTGTTAACAGCCTACAATGGGTGATTATGCAGACACCAGTCATTTCAGGCATCTTGTATGTGACCAAAAAATAAAAAGTAGTAAACATGTTATAAATACTTCATTCTTCTTTAGCGGCGGGGGACATTGCCATATTAGTGGAAAACACTTGTTTTATCTTGCCAGTGTCCGAACTTTCAAGATTAATTTATTTAGTTTGTTTAACATGTATGTCTTACAATTTTACTGTTGTTTTTTTCTGAGATAATGCCCTGTGTTACATTTTTTAATGCTTAATTTACATTGTATACTCCCAATATTCCACTATCTGAACTTTTTACAATAAGATTGTTATTGTTACTTATTTTTAAACCATGAATTCTGTCCCATCCTTAGTGTTCTACAATACGTTACATACTCAACTTCCTTCATACATGTCATGTGTTGTATTTATATGTAGTTTTTGCAATCATGTTATATGTACATTTACAATTTAACCAAAATCTCCATTGGAGATAGCATTATCTTATCTAAATATTTTCTTCTATCGCTATAATAAGTTAATTATTCGAAAGAATTGTGTGGTTGAGACCTTACAAATGTCGTTTATGATATGCAAATCTTTGGAAGTAACACTATTTTGGTTTCAGTGTTAAGGAAATCAAGAGCCTGTACATCGACACAACGTTCTGCATCGAGAACGCCTTCCACTTCCCGAGCCGCAGTGACTGTGCGGAGGCAGCAAGTGAGCTAGTGTCACGCTGGCTGGCTCAGTCGCCTGACCATGTTGTGTCCATCTCCTGCAAGTCCAAGTACGGCCATGAACACTTCCTGCAGGAACTCAGTACCAACACACACCAGAAGGTGGAGTCTCTGATATTCAGACAGTTCTTAGGGTTTTTTTTGAGGGGTGGTCTTCGAGAATTAAAGGAACATCACCTAAAGTTTTTCCTGAAAATATACTTCACCCCAAAGTTTGAATGAAAATGTTTTGCTCCTTCTTAAGACAAATGTTAAATGAGTTATTAGAGCAGTTTATATGCACTCTACTCATTGCAGTATGTAATGCATTACTTGCTGTTGATAGATGCCATTACGTACTGCTATAGAGCTCGTAAATATTATTTTTGATAGCCGATACACCTTGTCTGTTCGTCTCCAAAACATTCTGATGGAAAGAGTGAGTAAGTTTAGTTCTGTGCTGCTCTTAGCAATATTCCAGCAATATCATTGTGGGGCACGCAAGAAATACACCCATCTAAATTGTACCCATGTGGAGATCGAACCAGGATCTTTGGCATGCAAGCAAATGCATTAACCACTAGGGCGCCCCTTGGTGTAAAGCAGGGCTCCAGATAAGGGCCATATCGGCATATATACGGATATAGAATACACAAGATACGGTAGGAAATAATTTAGAAAACGTGGCAGATACACACCACAGCAATGGTTGATGGTCTTGGAATCATTTACAGACGTATTTATCTCAAAAAGTATTGTTTCATTATTTATTGACCTGTTTACACAAGACTAGCAAGATTACTGATACGCCATTACTTTCCATTCAGTACTCTAAATGTACACTTAAGGTTTTCCAGTACTCCTGATGTTGAAAAATTATCTGGAGCCCTGGTAAAGATAATAGATGTTGCAAGAGTATGTCTGAAGTTTGGTCCAACAGTGTTTCCACTGGGCCTACAGTTTTTGAAATGTTGCTGGCCCTAAGGGTCTCAGTTTACTCTGGCCCTCAGTTTACTCTGCTGAGTTTCACACACTGTTCCAGGTACATACATCACGGGAGAAGTGTGACGTGTATCAGCAGATCGGTGATCTACGCCAGGTCTTCACGTCAGACCCTGCAGCCAGAATCCATTCCTGTACCTTTGTGGTGAGTCAGCTCTATATCCTGGCTTCTCCAATCAGATACGTAACATTTTGTCCCAGTTATGTAGACAAATGCTCATGTTGTCAGTCACCGGATTATCAGGTCCAGGGAAGATTGTGGCCATATAGCTGGAGTATTGGGTTAAACATCATCCATACTTCCCTTCTGTTGAATTATTCATCTTGGACCCAGTTGACTCGATACCTTAGTTGAATGTCTGGTTTAAACATCACAACACTGAAAATAGACATTGAGTGTGTGAAGTCATCTTTGAAACAAGCAGTACAAACAAGACAAATATCATCTGTTATTTATACCCAATGCATATGTCTCTAGAAAGGAGTGTATTCCACAGAAACAATTGTGTCACCCTACAAGGAAAACACTGATCAGATTTTTATCCTCAGAAAATATGTTCAGAAATTAGCCCAGTTTTTAACACATTCATTGACATTAAGGAAGAGTCTGATTTCATCTGGCAACTAATTTCACATTGTTATGATAATTTCCACTATTTGCACTGTCCATGCTTTGTCATTATGATACTATTATGATACAATTATGATACTATTATGATACTATCTATACGGGCCAGAAACCTTGTGTACAATAAACTATTATGATCTTGACTAAACTTCTGAGAGCTGTCTGTAATATAGCCACAATTGCCTTGTAGCATTACTCCCCCTGAAATGAATACAGCATGGGGTTTATACAGCATGCTTTACGAATATATGGTATTGAGGACAAATATGTATTCATGAATACATCATGTTTATTTACAAGGAATTAACATAACAATCATGTCATGTAATTGCTGAGATTGAAAGATTTCATTGTTGATGTCTGTAAAGCAAAAAAGTAGTACATCACAATCAATGCCGCTTATGGCCTAATGACATATGTGAGTGAATCAAGACAGCCCTAACGCTGAATATATATTTGGTTATCTGTGATTGGTCTCTGTTTCTGTCCAGCCTGGCAGGTCTCCATTGTCACGACTACCTTGTGGCTACGTCCCGGAACACGGCCGTGACATCAACGTCCTCATCCTCCGTCCCTCCACCATGTTCTTTGCCCTCAACCGCCATAAGTATCGCAATGATGACCTAATCGTGTACCCCAAGGGTTCCAGAGGTCTTCATCGTGTGTGCTACTCCTTCCATGCATCGTATGTTGAGGTGCGTGACCTCGTCATGTACCTCAAGCCGCAGCGAGTCTTCCCAAATGTCATACCGCCCAATGAACAGGATTTGAGCAAGGTGAAGGTCAATTTCTTTTTGGTCAACTGGAAGATTTAACTCAGTAAAATACAGATGACAAGCTGTGTTGTCAATTTTGCTCTAATTTCCATTATTTTGTCACGTAAGTCTGGAGATACTTAAACCAACTGTCTTTTGAAGTTCATATTTAGTTATTTTGTCATGGATATAATTGAACTAAAAGTGTTTTCGATTTAGTTGATTATTTTGTTAGTTTGTTAGAATTTAGATGCTGTGTTTAAAGATTTGGAAATCACTGAGTGAGTGAGTTTAATTTTGCGCCGCACTCAGTAATATTTCAGCTATATGGTGGTGGTCTGTAAATTATCAAGTCTGGACCAGATAATCCATTGATCAACAGCATGAGCATCGATCTACGCAATTGGGATACGATGACATGTGTCAATCAAGTCAGCAAGCCTGACCACCCGATCCCGTTAGTCGCCTCTTATGACAAGATTCTAACCGGGATCTTCATAGGTCTGAAATCAGTGAACTGCTGACTGTAAATTTTATTAAAACTAGGATAAAATACAGGTTCTGTGTACAAGTGTTTCAAATTACCTGCTGTCAGTTGGAAAAAGAATTTTAGTCAAACTAATATCTGTGGATGTTGTGACCAGTATGTATAATGATGGCTTCAAGTATTTGATTTGATATTTGAGACTGAACTCCTTGTTGCAGGTTCAGGCGAGACTGAACAGCTTCCTCAAGTTGGTGCATTCGAAGCACATTCCTTCCATGGTGGCTCCCAATAGTGTTCTCGGTAAACTCAAGGTCAGACAGAAAGTCTACCATGGTAAGACACTTGCTGGTTCTCCTGAGGTCAGTGGTTGATGAGTGAGTGAGTGAGTGTCTTCTGAGCTACTTTCCCACAGTACAGCCAGGCTGCGTTAGTCCGGACCCTGATAATCTGATTCCCAGGATATCCGAACGGTAGCTGGCCGTAACCAATCTTGTTTACTATGTAAACTCATTAAATAACTGTTGATTCATTAATCCAGTGCTTCACTCTCCGGATGTTAATTAGTGGTAACGGATTAGCTAATTACACTTGGTTTTGTTTCATTAATCTGGCGGTGCATTAAAAAGGTTCGGATAATCCCCATACCTCGTGACCACCATTGATTAGAGCTGATCTTCATTGGTAAACTTAAATGGTAATTGATAAGTGAGATGACACTTCTGAGTTGAACATGTCGTTAGTGATTTTAATTAATTAATAGGTCTCACCTGTGCAAACGCAACTGGCGCCATTAAAATTAAGCCATTTAAATTGTCATCGCCAAATCGAGATGTAGAAGTATCTCTACTGTAGTTGTGTACACAATGGTTCATTTCAGTAGTCCGTATGTTTCACTAGCCGAATGTTTTTGATGAGAAACAGAAGTGTTCGGATTAACGCGGCCTGACTGTATTACTATAAAAATGTTCAGAAGGCCTTGGAAAGGTTCTGGAACAGAAAAACCTTTCTGGTAACGATCTTTTTAACAATCTTGTTTGTTGAATATTCCAGCTATATAGTGGTGGTCTGTTAATAATTGAAGAGCTACATTCATTTTAGAAAACTGGGGAATGCTGATTGCGTAATGATTCTGTGACTTGTAGTACTGACAGTACTAAGTACTGTTTGGGCATTGTGACAATTTGCTGGGATATTGCTGGAATGTTACTGTGATAGTGCTGGAATATTGCTGATTTTCTGTGACATTGCTTGTTCCTGTGATGCTGGAATATTGCTGGAATGTTCCTGTGATATTGCTGGAATGTTTGCTAGAAATGTTCCTGTGATATTGCTGCTCCTGTGATATGTTCCTGTGATATTGCTGGAATGCTCCTGTGATATTGCTGAATGTTCCTGGTGATATTGCTGGAATGTTCCTGTGATTGCTGAAATTGCTGGAAGGATATTGCTGAATGTTCCTGTGATAATGTTCCTGCTGATATTGCTGGAATGTTCCCTGTGATATTGATATTGCTGAAATGTTCCTGTGAATATTGCTGTGATGCTGGAATATTGCTGGAATGCTCCAGTGATATTGCTGGAATATTGCTGGAATGTTCCTGTGATATTGCTGAAATGTTCCTGTGATTGTGCTGGAATATTGCTAGTTGTCAGGGGTGGAAATAAATTTAAATTTGCTAGTGTACTTCAGTACGGTGGCACATATAAAATCACTTGCCCTGATAATTTTTCCACTACACTGGCCGATTTTCTTGTTGATTTTTTAAATAAACAACATAATTAACATTGGAAAGTCAACTGGACACCGGTACAGTGTGATATACAAATTTGCTTGACAGACAGAAAAAAACACTGGACTGGGGCGTCGGGCAATGGGTTATTTCTGCCCCTGGTTGTAGGGAAAGCCACATTCACTCACTCACTCATGTTGAGGTCTACTCTTACTTCAATCCCAACTTCCATCACTGCCTAGTAATTTCAATCTGTCTCTGCACCACACAGGCAGAGATTCCTCCCAGAGTGACTCCGAGAACCTGGTTTTTGACAGTCCTGTCAAGATCCAGCCCTCCTCCCGCCAGAACCATACCACCCCGTCCCAGACCAGTTCGACCTCCCCCAAGGACAGCGAGGATAGTGTAGTGGACAGCTCGTATGAGGGGAGCATCATCCATGATGAGGAGATGGATCTCACCAACACCCAGGACATGGGGAAAGAGAAACCCTCCCTGCCTTTGTCCTCACAGGAACTGTTTGAAACCAAGGACAAGGAGGACATGGTTGAGGACCCCACACTTGGTGAGTGATGTCGTCCTCAAGATGGTAGCTCTGAGATACGCTTTCTTTGATGCTGATGAAACTATTTTTTTGTTCAAGAGATAAATATCTGACATCTTTTGATCAAATATTTCAGGGGGCAGTGGGATAGTGTAGTGGTTGAAGCAGTAGCTCATCACATCAAAGATTCGGGGTCGATTCCCACATGGGTACATTGTGTGAAGCCCATTTCCCTCTCCTTGATATTAATGGAATATTGCTAAGGGACCATTCATAATTTATGGCTAGTGGTGGGGTTGGGAGTGATGATGATTTTTATGGAGAAGCATGAACAATGTGACTGCCCCCCCCCTCCCCCTAAAATTCATGTACAAAGTAAGTGACCCCCCTCTGCATGTCATGTACAAAATCAATTACCCTCCCTTCCCATATTTTGTAAGCCTAATTTTTAAATATTTTTATGAACAAAATTGATGACCAAGTACACATGTACAAATTGATGATCCCCTACCACCCCAGAACAAAATGGGTGACCCCAAAATCATTATCACCCCCACTAGCCATAAATTATGAACGGTCCCTAAAAGCCCCTTAAAATCACTCATAATCAAATATTTTGTCATAAAAGCTTGTGTTTTCAATGTGATAATGTGATGAAACGCAGGAATCACTCCTTAAAAAAAGGGGTAATAGTCTAATGGTTCACTCGGCCATCGGAAAGCTTGGGTTTTCAACATGGGTAAATTGTGTGAAGCCCATTTCTGGTGTTCAGCAGGATACTGGAATACTTGCTCAGCGAAAACCCTCTGGAACACTCATAATATGTATCACAAAACTCATATTCATGTGAAATCGCATGGAACTTTTTGACAATAAACATGTCAGACCAGGTTTAAATGGAACCGTAACCATGGAGACATGTTTATCACCGCTCTCACTCACTACTCACTCACATATCAAAATCAACTCCTATGTGTAATTAAATTTCAATTTCACAAGTGCAACTCACACACCTACCTGTTCTACCAGCAAGTTGTCCCCCCTTGTAAAAAAATAGCAAAAAATGACTACAAAATATTGATCTTTTGTTAAACAACTATTTTATTCGGGTGTCCAAAATTATGACACAAATCATCAGAGTTGGTCTGTCGATGTCATGTGACTGCAAAATTTGGTTTTGTTGCAATTATTAGATTTTGTGTGAGAAATTCATCAGTCTCAAGTGAAATCAAACACACTGTATGGGTTTAGGTTCTAGGAAAGGAAAGGAAAATTTCTGTGTGTGAAGAATACTTGGTCTCCTTGTTAATGAATCCCCCAGAATGATGATTTGTTTCACTATGTTGACCAAACTCAAACGTATTTGAAGCAAGCTAAACCTCTGAAATGTTGCTAACTGCTGTGTAGAATTTCTTTATGCTATGTAACAGTCTTCATCTGTTGTTTTGTCCCCAGAAAACACACAGGAGTCCTACTGTCTGTATGTGAGCGGAGATGAGGACTGTGAGGAGGAGGACCGTGTCTCCGCTGTCAGCTACTGCGCCCATGATGATGTTGTCGTCATCGAGTCCAGTCAGTCGCAGGATGACGTGTGTGAGATCGACATCCGTGATCCTGCTCCAGGATCCAGTGGTGAGGGGCGCTCACATGTCAAGGTTGACACGTCTCACCAAGGAGATGGAGACACATCTCATGGATCTCAGGATGGTGTCTCACATGGTGAGACGTGTGATGGAAAAGGGGACAAGGTCATCTCCATCAGGGTGGATGAGGATGATGATCTTGAAATCAAGGACACTGCATTTGAATCAGGGAAAGGAGACAGCAAGGGTCCGAAAAAGAAAGAAGAGATCTCCCATGGTAGTGATATCTCATCTGAAATACTTGATGATGCTGGAGGCATCTCTCTTGGAAAGTCTGAGAGAACTTCTCACAAAGATGGAGACGCATTATGCAGAACTGGTGATGGTATCTCACAAGAGAAGGGAGATGATGTCTCAGAAGTAAATGGAGATGAAGAGTCGAGTCTGAAAATCGGAAATGGTATTTTCCAGCAAGAAGGATGGTGGACAGAGTAAGAAAAAGTCTGTGTTTGGGAAACAGAAAAGTTTTGATCTGTTTGATGAAGGAAATGCAACAGATATTGAGGACAATGTTGAGGAGGACATTGCAGAGACACAGAGATTTGATGTAGACTTAGCTTCGGATGCAGACACATCTGTTTTGATTCTAAAAAGACAAACCCTGTACAGACAAATCCCATACAAGCAAACTACATACAGACAATTCACATAAAGACAAGCCTCGCACAGACATCAGCAGGCACAAAGAGGCTACTGAGGACAGGGTGTCCAGCATGAGGCTTCCTATAATGACCACCTTTAACGATAGACTCAGTGGAGGAAATAGTTATTTTGGACAGTGATGATGAGAGTGACAAGGAGTCTGGTTTTCTGAGTGGAGGGAAAGATTGTGTTATGTCCGAATTCAGCATCAAGCGGAGGTTGCCCATGTCTATAAACAGTGCAGAATATGCAAGAAATCTCAGCAACCTTGTGGCAAAGGTTGAGAAGAGGTTAGCGAGCTCGGACAGCGATGTCAGCCCAAGAAAGAAGATGCGACCAGACTTGTCCCGGAACTGTGAATCCGACAGTGACGCTGACTCTGCCACCGAGTCAAGGATCACGTGGAGGATTGTTTCATAGGAGTCTGTATTACACGGACTCAGAGTCGGAGAGTGACTCGGACAGCGAGGCGGTGGAGATTCTGTATGAGACGGATGCTAACGGTGATCGGTTTGACGTTTTGGGAAATCCGATGCCAACCCAGCCATCGATGATGACTGTGTGTGTCAAGACTTTAAATAGACCCCTAGTCAGCAGTACAACTAGTTGCATGGACAACGGCAGTAACAGCAGCGATGTCATCGACTTGACAGAGGAGCCTGAAGATGATGACTGTGCTGATCATATCCATGGTAACAGCAATGATAAAGTTGAAAGCAACCTTGACAAAATGGAAAGCAACCAGGAGAAGGTGGAAAGCAGTAGTGAAGAGATGGAAAGCAGTCATGACATGGTAGAGGTCAGACATGATAAAGAGGAAAGCAGTGATGGTAAACAGGATAAAGAGGAAAGCAGTGATGGTAAGCAGGAAAGCAGTGATGGTAAACAGGATAAAGAGGAAAGCAGTGATGGTAAACAGGATAAACAGGAAAGCAGTGATGGTAAACAGAATAAACAGGAAAGCAGTGATGGTAAACAGGAAAGCAGTGATGGTAAGCAGGAAAGCAGTGATGGTAAACAGGATAAAGAGGAAAGCAGTGATGGTAAACAGGATAAACAGGAAAGCAGTGACGGTAAACAGAATAAACAGGAAAGCAGTGATGGTAAACAGGATAAAGACAGCAGCCATGGTAAACACAATAAAGAGGAAAGCAGTGATGGTAAACAGGAAAGCAGTGATGGTAAACAGGATAAAGACAGCAGTCATGGTAAACACAATAAAGAGGAAAGCAGTGATGGTAAACAGGAAAGCAGCCATGATAAACAGGATATAGAGGACAACAGCCATGATGAAATGGAGATTGGTCAAGATAAAATAGTGACCAGCCATAAAGCCAAAAGTGGTCAGGACAGTTTGGAAATCAGAACTGATGAAGTTCAATCAAGCAGCGATAAAGTTGAAAATAATTGTGCTGAGTGATTTGACTGGCTATCTGATTGTTGCATTATCATGATTATATGCAGATGATGAACATTGTTGCCATGGAAACATGTTGTGGACTCTAGTCCTGGAGTTGGTGCTATAGACTGTCTCAAACAGAAATTCCACATAAGCTGATAAAGGGCTGCTCTTGTAATTCCAATATCATGAATATGACTAATGAAATGCAAACAAATGATTTATTATTTGCAGGGTATCAAATGCCACTTTCACCATTTTTGATAAATGTTGTATTGAGCTCAATTTAAGCATTTTAGGCTTGTTCTGGTGCTACCATTCTCTTCCTGCAGAGGCTACTCAAGTCATATCTTCCCACGCGTAACCTCTGTCCTAATATGGTCCTTTCATGGTGAAAGAGTTCAGGATTCGTGATTGGTTGCAGTCAGATTTAGTTGTGCAATCAGCGACATTGTTTCAAAAGTGATCATTCGCGCAAAGCCTCTGTAATATCTGTATGCTTTGGGAAAACTAGAACCATTTTCCCCTGCAAGATGCTAAAAGTTTCTTCAAGACAGAACTCAGTCATGTAATGGCGGTTAATGTTGTCTCCATCACCCTCGTTGACATCAAGCTAGCCATTAAATGTCTTGTGTGTCACATCAACATAAGTCATCATCAGAGGAGGGATATTTGTGGCCCCACTTTCTATTGCTAGTTTCTGATTTTCAGTTAAACATGAAATACCGAATCTATATTTCGCATATTGATCAACAAACTCCATGGCCCCCAAAAATATTGGATCTAAGTCGATGTAACACATGTTCTGATTGGATAGAAAGAAGGCAGATAATTTGTGTTGCAATTTTTTGTCGCCAAGGGATTTTACGAGAACCGGGGAATATGGCCGCATTAGAACAGAGGTTACGTGGGAAGATATGACTGGAATAACCTCTGTGGGAAGAGAATGAGGTGCAACCTGAAATGGCAAATGGAACCTCATATCGATACCAACTTGTACCCAATGCATGTTGATATTTTGCTGTTCAAAGAACACAGACTTCAGATGGAAATGATGAGGAACTGGCTTGAAGCAGTGACTGATGACTACAAGGACAGTGACTGACTGAATGACAGTTACTGTTCATGTCATGAATTTTTGTGAAATAAGTAAAAATGATATTATCAGACCCAGAATATTATTGTTATATTGATGTTCTAAATCATCAACCCCAAACTCAAGCATTATATATAATTTCATATTGAGCAACAGGTGTAACCTGTTTTGGTCTGGTGCAACAGGTTAGTACCTAAGGTTGCACCCGGTGCAAGTAGGTTTCATTTCCTTAAATTGAGCTCTGTTGTATCTGTACTTTAACATATGTTCAGTATTTTGTGGGTGTGCATGGCAATTTGAAGTGTCTGTATCAGGTTTGAGATCAGGCAGCCATATTGAAATTGTCAATAATTGTCATTATTCAGCATTTTTGTATGTACAGTAATGAAATCTGACAAACAGTATGTGCATTGTGGGAAGAATCAGATATGTAATATATTTATTAAAACTGTATTTCAATCCTGCTGTGGAATATCATGATCATTATGAAATAGGGTTGTTGTTTTGTTGTGTTGTAATATTTCTATATTTATGTTTGAAAATTCATGTTTATGCTTTTATAATGAATTTACATTCTCATGTTGCAAATATACCATGAACTTCGGGTGAGCTACAAAACCTTTTATCGCTGTTTTAATGGATTATATCATATGCTGTATTGCAGTCACTGCACTGCACTGCATTGCTCTGTACTATTTTGTTCTGTTCTGTACTGTACTGTAACCATTTCATAGTAGGAAATGTCTCGACAAAAGATAAAACTCGACAATGTACATATATCATTCGACAGTGTTCACCATTATTCAACTAATTAAACACTATGACCATATTCATTATAATATTAATCATAATCATGATCATTTTCGGATGCATAGTGCTGCTGAAGTACTTACACCTCATATTTAAATTGCTTCACACTGGACTGACTGTCATTGCAGGGAACACAGAATTTATTGTCTGGCACAGAATTTTATTTCCCTCCCATATGGGAAGAATAATATTTGTTAGATCACATGATCCAAAATAGATCTTGTCATTCAGACATGTAGGTAGTATAAACTTATTATTGATTGGAAAACTTGTCTGTTTCAAAGGTCCTGAAAATGAAATAATTTCACTTCATCATGAGCTAATGAACGCTGAAAGGGTCGCTGTCAGCATGGATGTGTATCCCAGGTGGGTTTCTGTATACAGAAATATACCCTAGTCAAAATCAGAATACAGAAATGTACTCTTGGATGATTCCATTCCACACTGTCATTTTCTCGTTTAGGGTATATTTCAGTGTACAGAATATATTGTACATATCTGTACCTGTGCTAACAGCAACCCCTTCAGTGTTCATTAACTCATACAAAACAAAAACTGAAGGATTTCTGCATAGCCTCTTGAAAATGTAGAGCAAATAATTTGTCAGGCTGTACATTTAAAATATATGTTCTCTGAATAGATCTGACTTCATTTAAGTGATAAAGGACTTATGCTTGACAAAGACAAGCTAGTGTTTGTGAAGTACTTAGGATTTTTATCAATTCATAAACATGTTAATTTTATGACAATTCTAATGGAGTGCTGAAAGTTTTTCTGATCATCCTCAATATTTTATGTTTTGTGCACAATGTTTTAATAGCTCCATCACTAAAGGAAGAAAGTTTGTAGATGTCAAGATACAAGTAAGGAACTACTCTGAAACGTGTTAAAGAAGCTGCCCTCCTGCCCTCCATTTGAAGTTCTCTCCCTTATATGAAATGATACAAGCTTCATTGTAAATGTCATTTAAAGACTTCACTGAACAGTGACACATCAGATCAGCTCTTGATATTGAAAGCAGAAAATATATGTACCAACATGAAATGATACAATTCTTTGATTTAATTACTGGTATTTGTGCATTGTAATCTGAGTAGTCACAGTTGTCAGACCATAGCTTGATTCACTCCAGATTAGTGTTGACAGATGACTACACTGTATTCTTGGGTTTAAAAGCCAGTTTACGATGAGATGAAGATGACACTTTTGTAATGATGATAGAGTCAATGATGATGATGATGATGAAATGTTTGTATTATTGGGCAAGACTTTTTATGAAAACTTCGTTGACAGATTTTGATGACCTGAGAGAAATTAAAAGGTGAACAAACTTGATATTTCACAAAATATCTGTTAATAACAAACTATTGAAAAGTCTTTGCCCTAAATCTCAGGGAAATGATTGTATTGTACTTTTTAGTCCAAAAATCACATGTATCTGTTTGCAAAATATGTAAAATAAATACAATGAAATAAATACAATGAAATAAGAATGGTAGCCCTTGAGTCTATGCACAAAGGCTACATTTGCAACTGTTTTGAGATTGAATGTCTAATAATTCGTGATGAATGTCTGTGTTGTTTTCATCAAACTTAAATTAATTAAATTGAATGTCATAAACATGTTGGTAGGATGGGAATGAATTTTTATGTATTAACAAATACTATGTATAATTCAATGAAATGTCTATTGCATGTTACACAGATATTTCTATCTGGAACAAGGGTCATATGCACAAACGTATAAAAGTGGAAATAATTTCAGACACTACAATATTTACTACATAGATATTATCTAACCCACATCATTTGAATATGTCAAAACATTGAAAAAACTGAATTATATTTATTATGTATGTATAATCATACTCTAAAGAATCGAAATACTCAAAATTTCCTTTAATTCAAAATGTTGACAAAATATTTCTGTGTTTCATTTCAGACTGAAATGATATAATTTATTCAAATCACAAAAATAAAAAACAAAATCCTGGGCTTGTCCACGTGGTTAGTAAAAGTACAAGGAGAATATCAACCTGGTACCAACCACAGTGTATACTGATCTGCAAGGAAAACCATTCTTAACCTAAATTCTCTTTGTGCATGCGGGCCTTGGCATATTCTTTGTAACTACTGAAGATTAACATCTGTTGTGCACACTTTGTAATATTTCTATTTCTACATCAGCTAAATATGGTTTATTTTGTGTTTGTCAAAGTTTTATGAACAGATTTTTAATATTGTCTAAGTACTTATGAAATGTGTATGTGTTTGCTAAATACATGAATTGAAATTTCACAGTTTGACATCAATAGTCTTCATGGCAGCCATCTTGAAAAGTGTCCATCGTAAAACAAAAATATAGTTGTGGGCAACGATGAGGTCTCCTTGGCTTTACTTTCCATCTATCTATTGTATCTGAGGGCTAGATATCATCGTCCAAAACGGAGCCAGAACACAGGTTTTCGACAGGCGAGCGGATCCTCCAAATACAGAATTTGCACATCTTGGGAGCAAACTACTCAGAAAAACTGAAAACAAAAATAACTGCCAAAGAGTACGTTTTAGCGACTTGACCCATCAGGCAAAATTGTTGGGAATTCGAATGGGAATCTGTACAAGAAATTTGGAAGTGTTGGAACAATTAATTCTTTAGATATTTGCTGTCAAACGTTGAAATTTTGGAATTAATTTTGAATGTTCATTGGGCCAATGTTTTAAGGGGAATATCTCAAATATCTGTGTATTTATTTCAGCAAGATAATTAGACTTTGTTGTAGCCCTAATTTAGCTGTAAATGCCAGCCTTCATCCTTTTCTTAATGCCAGCCTCATCCATTTTTGGTCTTTGGTCCATCACAATCTTGGCAAACATTCATCCCATATCTAAATGAGAGATACATTAATGAGAAACTGAGCCAGTCAAACGTCTTTATTTTAATCAAAGAACACATAATTTTTCTATTATGGTTCTCTCCCTTGGGTATAGATACCAGCACTTGAAAAAAATAATAGAGCTTATAAAATATCTACAACAATATGATGGCACAGCCTTTATTGTTTACATTCGAAACCTGCTGATCAAGTCTGTTTTGAAGATACAGAAGAATGGGCCACCTTTGCCTCATGGACTCAATTTATACTCACCTCTCTCAAATGTTCAAAGTTATTAATGAAAGCTCAAAGTCATTTGCTTTGAAAAACTGTTTTATTGATACACAATTCCCATCAATATACATGATGTATGTACAATTCTTGTATACCTGTACAATATGAAACATCAGCATGCATGTTAGTCATGTAAAAATCATCTTGAAGGCTTATTAGTACTTGATACTGCTTCAAAGAAAAAATGAGATATTAATAATTAATATCAGTTTGTTCAATGTAATCAAATCTTCTCATCATATATTGTGAAACCCTTTAGTAATTGTAAAGTGTAGTTCAATGCTACAAAAAAGCCCTGGCCAGCTATTCTCGAAATGTTCGTAGCCCTACGAACTTCTTAAGCCCATTCTTAACACATTGGCTACGAACACAGTTAAGAATTCTTAGGGCTACAAACGTTTCGAGAATATGGGCCCAGGTTTACACCAGTCGAATGCCAGGTTGAAAGATTTTTCCCCCGAAACACATATTTATTTTTTCTCTGAAATAAATATAGCTTGAAAGTGTACTATGTTTTTCCACATAATTCCTTCAGGTGGAAATTCCATAAACAAAGTATTTAAAAACACAGTAGCCTGTACCTGACTCTGCCAGTAGGTTTCAGTGGTTTTATCATATGGTGAGCTTCATCTCTAGTGCATCAATTAACAGGTATCCATGACAACAATGTGCTGTGAATAACATCCAATGTGAAAATCCCTCCTCTGCTATAGTTTCATCAGTCAACATGGTTAGGCTGTCTGTATATCTTTTTCTGTCTTTCCCATCTCCCAACTACCCTGATTTTTCCTTCCTATAATAAAAACTTTTCTTATCTCAACTCTCCCCCGCTGCTGGGGAATAAATGTGATAAAGAAAATACTTTCTCATGAACATACTCCAGTTTATCTTGATCTTTCTGGGCAGGTGGGGTAGTCTAGTGGTTAAAGTGTTGGCTCGTCACGCCGAAGACCTGGGTTCGAATCCCCACATGGGTACAATGAGTGAAGCTCATTTCTGGTGTCCCCCGCTGTAATATTGCTAAAAGCGGCGTAAAACCAAACTCAGTCAGTCTTGATCTTTCTTCATCTGTGTACATTTAAAAAATATTTTTAAACCAAAGCGATTGATTCACATAACAAATTCATTTACAGACTATTACCAAGTGATCTAAATCTTAAAACCTAATAAATTAAGTTAAAACAATAGTGTTTTGGTGTTTTTATTTACCCCCACTATTTTGCTGGTTGAGATTGGAGATGAGAAACACATATGAAATACAGATGGCCTTAGTCTACGCTATGCTATGGAACTATTACTATCAGCTGTGGAAAAAATGATGGCTTCAATTTGTATGTTCACAAAGTAATGTCACAACACCCTTGTTGCTGTATGTACAGGTGTGACCCGTTATGTACAGGTAAGACACAACACCAGCCCCATATGTATGATGATGTACATGAGCACTGACTACAGAAATATGAACATTAGCATCTACAAACAACATAAATAAACATACCATGGATATTGGTGTATCTGTGGTATATAATGTGCTTTATTGAACTGAAGAACTTGTTTGTGAGGCTCTATTTGAACAGTCTATACCCTTTACTTCATTTAATAAAATTTTACATAAGGAAATAACTGAGATAAATTTAACATAACACGACAGTGTTTATTATGATATCAGTTTAAGATTCCATTGTTCCACAATTGATACGGAACCAAATGTTTGTTGCATTATTTTTTAGGGAGGTTTTTATGTTGACAGCATCTCAATGAGAGGTGTTCTCAGCTACTAATGGTGATCATGTTGATTGGTCTAAAGCATTGTTGAGACTGAAGATACACAGTACCATGATGTATGCTCTAGAAATCGAAGTAGTAATGAACTTGCCCAATGTTCCATTGCAAGATACCTTTCAAATGGGTGCAAAGACATCTACACATTGTACATCAGATCTACATAAGTATTTTAACTTAATGTCTCATTAAAGTAGTAGTATTAGAGTACTAGTGTATATTCACTCCCGTGTCCAGAATATTAGTAACCAATCAGTACAAAGCTTAAAAAATAAATTCTGCTCAAAATTCTGTTCAGGTGACTTCTAATTTGCATCAGTTTATGTACTTGCCCCTGCTTAGTATCAAGGAAGTTCTCTACAAAGAAATGTTGAAGTATCAGTTAGAAAAAGAGAGTAATCAGGGGTGGAAATAACCCATTGCCCGACGTCCGAGTCCAGTGTTTTTTTCTGTCGGGCAAGCAAATTTGAATATCACACTGTACCGGTGTCCAGTTGACTTTCCAATGTTAATTAGGTGGTTTTTTTAATAATCAACAAGAAAACGTCCGGTATAGTGGACAAATTATCAGGGCAAGTTATTTTACATGTGCCACTGTCTGGAGTACACTAGCAATTTTAAAGTTATTTCCACCCCTGGTAATAGCACTTACATCCATCATTCCTGCAGGAGTGATGCCTGCATTTGATCAGACGATACAAATCATTAGGGTAATGTAATGAACTTGCCCCAACTTAGTACCATGTTGCAAGTTTATTACACTGAAAGGTCTTTGTACCAAAACTCAAAAGTGGACATGCTTGCATTTTATCAGTATAGATGGTCATTAAGGAAATAGTGTTACGAAAGATACAAATACAATGTCTGACTTTAGGTAATTACACACACAGTATAGTAAACATGGTAAAGTCATATTTTTCAGGCATATTTCGTGAGTGAGTAAAGAGTGAGCATGATTTGTTGTGCATATTTTATGCAGATAATTAGCCAATCTGGAACTTTAGAAGCTCTTATCACATCAGCACTTTGAATGGCATGACATCTGTAAACAAACATGGTAAGTACACAGTGATCACAGAAAGTCGTGTTCTTCACATAATTACACAGTTTCTGCATAGTTGAGCTGTCAACCACAGTCAGCTGTTCTCCATGTAATGTCCATGCCTTCTCCACATTCAATGTGATACAAATGATGGATGAGTATGCAAGAGCAGACAACTCTGGGCGGAGACGTAATGAAAGGTGAGTTTGCCATGGTTACTTGAGTAGAAGAACATAGAATGCCATGAGAATACAGATGACAGATACCGGAGTGTGAAGTCGGGTGCCAATAACAGATGCTGAAAGGGAGAAAAAGTGGAAATAAATGCAGCTATTCATGATAGCGGGTTCCCCATCCCCTCTCAAAATAATAATAACAATACCCATAATCATAATAGGAATAGTGAGTGAGTTTAGTTTTACGCCACACTCAGCAATATTCCAGCTATATGGTGGTGGTCTGTAAATAATCGAGTCTAGACCAGACAATCCAGTGATCAACATCATGAGCATTAATCTATGCAATTGGGATACGATGACGTGTCAACCAAGTCAGCGAGCCTGACCGCCCGATCCTGTTAAGACAATCATGGGTTACTGAAGACCAATTTTAACCTGGATCTTCAGGGGCCATAAAAAGAATAAATTAAAATAACTTCCATATTAGAGTGCAACCGGCATCGTATAGCATCCTCAAAGCATTACAATAAAACCCTGGGCAATGGATCATTGTCCACTCAATTTTCATTTTGGACTCCCTTGGGAGAATACAACCCAAGAGGTGCTAGAACAAACAGTGATACAATGTGAAATTAGGCCCTGGAATCTATTTTGGCAACCTGAATAAATGAACAGTCAAATATATCATCTCAAAAAGTGAGCAAGATTTGGCACAGGTAATTGATGTGAGAATGATAAGAATATTCAGGAAATACCAAACTATTATTGCCTCCTGTTTATGAAAAGACCCCCAATTCTCTTGTTTTTCCTGAAGTGTTTTCTTGTACAATAAACAACTCATTCTAATCATTTATTTCTGAAGTCGTGATGACTTTTTTAAAGACAAATCTCAGATATAATTATGACAAAAAATGACAGGATGACAAAATTCCTTGATGTAAATGTTACCAGTAATACATGCATCTGGGTAATTGGCACTTGAAATATTAATATTGCACCCCCAGCCCTACACCCTTTCTGAATCTATATATATATGATACAGATACAACATTCAAATTAGAACATATGTTCAGTATCGCACCTAAAAACATGTCAAATTGGTCGATTTTTTTTATTATACCCACCTTTATAAAATACTCCTAGAAAGCCTTTTTTCTCAGACAGGAACCACTGCTTGAGTCGAGGAACCCGTCGCATGTAGGCACATGTACATACGACTAGCAGGCCGAACACCAACAGTCCATCAAATGAATACACTGCAAGGTAAAACATGGCAAATTTTTCATTGACACTTTGTATGCAATGATGCAATGAATACACAGTGCCATTGAGAAAGTGGTCAAATGTAACATATATTGTATATTCATAGCTGTTGGCTGTGGGAGTTGTGCCAATTAATGCTTGTCCTGGGGGTACATGATCTAGACTACCAGTTGTCAGACTTCCATTTTTTGGAAGCCTCGGTGACTGCCCTGAAAGTACTAAATCTGCCCTTCACTGAGAAAGTGTAATCCCAAATATAGCATGTTAAAGGTCACATGCAACCAAAAAATCAAACATAATTAAAACACAATTGTCACTTATTCATGACATATAATATACATTGCTGGTTATGAAAAAACATAAAAACAAAATTATAAGCGTACAATCGCAAATCAAAAGTGCAATATTGTGTACTTGGGTTTACTTCCCAAGAAACAAAGCAGCCGGGATACCGAACCCAGTCAGAGCGGGTGGGTGTGCACTCAAGTGTAACGGCTGGTTCATTTGCAGATGCCCTCACGGCTCATTGTGTGTGTATATATAGAGATGTTGGTTTTGTAAATACATGCTCATTATTTGTGTATAACATTTTGCAATCAACAGACATCATAACATGTCATGTGTTCAAGTATCACACCTGCCTGTCTGTGTAATTACATAATGTGACAGAGACCGAACTTGGGCCATAAATCAATGCGTTTTGTTTATGGTGTATAGCCTGATAGGTGTTAAGTTCAAATTGCATGTGGTCAGTGATTGAAATTGTGTATTGAATATTGTCATTAGCAGACGGGCAGGCAGACATTGAGTTTTGTCTGTGACAACGACATATCTATATCACAGTTAGAAATTCTGTTGACGCTAAATAATGACATTGCTTTTAAGTATCGAACTGAGAAAGTGACTCGGTAAGAAGAATGTGTGGTGAAATAGACAAATGAAATTATATAAACAGTTAAATCGGTAATCTACTGTAATAACATATAAAAAGCTCGCGCCTGTGAAATATCAACAAAAACATTAGAAAAATAGCTCACACCAAAGCCTTCACCGAATATTCACCGAACAACCCGCTTCCAAGCTCCGCGAACCTATTTCACTGCGCATGTGCTATGAGCGCAGCCCAGCTGTTGAAACCACTTCAATTCCCACAAGCGCTTGGGGAAAGTTGGTGAATCGTTTGATTTCGCGCGGTTTTTTTCATCGCATTATTTTTCAACTTTATAAGTTGAATTTGCATTTTTAATGATTTGTTTCGGTAAGTCCATACCGAAAGGTATCAGAATCTGCAAGGTTGTGTTTTACGTTGCATGTGACCTTTAAATTTGACCACTTTCTAAATGGCATGGTGTATTCATAGCTTTCAGACGTGGGAGCCGTGCCAATTTACATTTGTCCAACAGGTACACAGTATGTGGTCTAGACTACCAGTTGTCTGACTTCCATTTTGTGAAAGCTTTGGTGGCTGAATGGGTTGGATCACTACTTCGTGTCAAGGTGATTAGATGCCCGTCTCTGAGTGTGGGTTTGATTCCCAGGTAGGACACAACTCAAAATAGTACCAAAATCTGTACTTTACTCAGAAAGTGTAATCCCAAATACACCATGCTACATCATGTACATTTAAGCATAAAAAAATGCTTATGACATTGACACCAATCAAACTAACATCAGTAAGTCCAGATTATCATGATTATACAAGTTAGAACCATAAATTATGTTCAAATTTCAACTTGATTATGGAAAATGAAACTAATTCAGAATATCAGATAGATATTTGAATGGTGAATGTTACTTTTTGATACATTTTACAGTGGGGTGTTACGATGGCTGCCCTCTTTATAATGCATCTCTGGACAGCAGAATACTGGGTCATGCCATTAAGTTAACACAATTTGTTTTTACATATTGGGTACATTTGTTTATGATATAAAGACTGTTAATAATGTCAAACAAAAGCACGCTTTGGAGATTAAAATAATAAATGCCATCGGTAAAATTAACAAAATCGTGGGAATGAGAATGTTCCACTAAATCAACTGCCAAGTTCATCAAGAACACATTGACTAGTTCCAGCATATCTCATTCTGAATGTCGATAAGTAATCTTACTTTCCCAGAAAAGTATGAATAACTAAAATATTAAGTAGCACATATTTACCATTCGTCATTATCTCAGAGAGGTAATTAACTGCTCAGAAACTGGACTGTTTGAGGCATAAGAAGTTTGTTTTCGTGCCTCTGCGTGTCAACAGGAAGTACTCGCTTCTAATTCTAGCAATATTACAAAACATGAATTGACAAGTGTGTAAAAAAAATGATGAGGGTTAGAAATGTAAAAATGCTTCGGAGTCTAATGATGACACGTGCTCTGATATATAGAATATATTTTTAGGAAAGGGTATGTAATAATCCGTTTAATCATGCATACAAAATAGCCATTTTCGTTTACATTCCAATACTCATTTTAACATAACTCTTTAACCGGAAATAACACAGGCGCACATGTCGGCCGGTTAGTGCTGATGCAACGTCAACACAATATATATAACTATTGTCTGTCATTGTTGCACAAACTTGCCTCAGATTGAATGTGCTATAGACCCACATAAAGTCGTCTGCGCCCATTGAACGCTAGATTAGCAAGCTGTCTTGAAGGTGAGTTGTGATCTGTCACCAGTGCATCGCCATGTTCTCCACCTGCTTGACTGTACTTGGATAAAGCAAGTATTATTGTGATGTACCCAATCTCGCCATCAAATGGTGAACTAGTGCACAGATATCCGGCAACAATAGAGTTTACCGGGCGTAGCCTATATCGAGCTTTTTGACTGAGGCTGACACTGCGACTGTCATTTCAAAAATCTCAAATGCCGTTTCGATCCTCAGCCAGCACTAATTATTTGTGATTGCACAGAGATGACATGGTGAGTGTTGACTCCTTTGGTTAAATCATGATCCTAGCTTAGCTGAAAGCTGGCAACATGAGTTTGATCCTCCATATGGTGCTAAATAGAATAGAAAATGTGCATCCAGTAAACTATTCCCAAGCGACTGGTCAGTCATAGTATCAGAGCTGTCAACCCCTAAAGATGGTTTGGAGTGAGACTGAAAAAAATAAGCCGGGGTCATGTCGAGGGCGATGCCCTGGTGGGGGGTCTCTTCAGGGCGAAGCCCCCCGCCCCCGAAAATGAAGTTTAGTGATTTTCAGGAGCATTTGGAGCCTTGTGGTGGCATTGTTTTGACACTCAAAGATGCATGCTAATAAATAATAATAAGCCGAATCATTCGCATAAACATCATTTAGTACTTCGTTCATTCAGGCGTTCTTTCAATGTTCAACTTTACGCAAAAACGAACGAAAATGCGTATTAATTTTGAAATTATTTTTGGCTACCAGATATGCATGAGATTATTATTTGGAGGCGTGAGAGCGTGACATTTGTCAATAAAGCGTGAGACTCACGCCAAATGCGTGAGAGTTGACAGGTATGTAGTATCCTGGTTGATTGTCAGTGCACCCCAAAGTCATGGATCATTGTTCCAAATATTGATCTTTATAGTTTGACTGTCAACACTTGACCATCAATCCAAAGGGTCATTTATATATATCTTGTGCCAAGTTATGGTCATGAAAGTTGTTCTACTGGACTGAATTGATTAATGTAGTAAACCATAGTTTGATCATAGTGCCATGTTAGTCTATTACGGTCACCACAACGGTGCAGACCACCTCCGTGGTGTAGTGGTTAGAGCGTCCGCCCAGAGAGTGGAAGGTCGTGGGTTTCGATCCCCGACCGCATCATACCAAATGATGTTAAAATATGGTACTTGTTGGTCCCAGCCTGGCGCTCGGCATTAATGGGTATAACAAGGACTGGTCAGCTCGGAGTCAGTATAATGTGTCTGAGTTGGGTATTCATGCTTCACTGCGGCGTGGTATCTCAGTGGGCTAGCACTATAAAACCAGCTTCAGTCTGGGCTAGTACAAGCAGCCGCACATACGCATGCACGTAGTCATATGAGCGCAATATTCTCAAGCACGACGTTAAACCCAATTTCACCTCACCACAACGGTGCAGTAAGGTCAATTATGATCTACTAGGAGAACTAGGGTCAACTGCGTTCAAACTACGGAAACAGTAGGGTCTTGGCATTCAAGCTAAACCGTTGAGATATTTTGAACATGTTGAATTTTTGGGGGTCTAACCACGGCCAAATTATGGGTTTGCTGAAGTTCAAAGTATTATCTTCAGTGATTTATGTTGAACTACGCTTTAATACGTCTAACTGCTTTTAACTATAGTCAAATACGTGTTGACTACAGCCTACTACTTTCATCACCCACTACGGTCAACTACGTGCATGTCCGTAGATGTGACCACTGCTTTAAATACTTCGAGTACTCTCAGATTGGACAAGGGCAACGTGATGACTATAGAAGGAATACACATAGACCAAGGTTTTCCTTTGAGACAACCGAAAGTTTGACCCATTAAAATCTGACAATTGATGTTTGATTGTTCCTTATTTTCTTCAGTAAACATAGACCTCAGGTAAAGGCAAGGTAGGTTTTCTGCATGGAATTCTCCCAATTATTATCTATGCAATAACCACTGGGGTTGAACTGTGTCTGAAGGAAATATATTCCCTGGTGTTTAATAGAGGAAATATGGTATGTTTACTAGGGGTGGGTATTGCAGAGAATTTTCATATTGCGATATATTGCGATGCGAAAGCATGTATTGCGATATGTATTGCAATATATTGCATGAAGTATTTTTAAACCAAAAACTACTTATAATCGAGTTACTGCTTGATTTATAGAGCAAAAACACAACAAAATCACTAGGCTTGATTAAGCTTTAATAACATATTAAATAAAAATATTTGTCTGGTGCCCTAGGGCACACTTAGAAAAAAAAGTATTTCTATCCCTGCATGTATAAATGTTAGGACTGAATAGCAAGGTCACGATATGTATGGAGCGATGAGGTAGCCTAGTGTTTAAAGCGTTCGCTCGTCAGGCCAAAGACCTGGGTTCGATTCTCCAAGTGGGTGCAATGTGTGAAGCTAATTTCTGGTGTCCCCGCCGTGATATTGCTGGATTATTGCTAAAAGCAGCGTAAAACCAAACTCAATCACGATATGTATCACAAAATGCATATTCATGTGAAATCGCAAGGAAACTTCTTTACTATAAATATGTCAGACCTGGTTCAAAAGGAAACGGTAACCATGGAGACAAGTTTATCACGACTTTTGTCAGTGGTGACCTTGAAATACCAAGAAAAAAATTATTTTGCGATATTTGACTGACGTAAATGTTGAGGTTGGAAGGTGTCACTAAATTAATAGTATTTTAGCAAGTGTATTGTCTCATAGTTATACTGAAAAATTGTATTGTGCATGATGTGGTCTCATGAAAACTCATGAAGCACTGGTGTATCATTTCAAACCTAATAAATCTGTTTGCTTAATATACATGATAATCTTCATAATGTCTCTTGGTAGTGTCAAGTTTTTTGTTTTAATGTTTTAGGTACATAGGATTCACACAGTCATTACAGTAAGCAGAGTGTTACATTATGCTAATATCCAGGACAAATACCAGAAATGATTAAACTAATCAATCAGAATAAGAAAATCTGTACTTACTGGGAAAAATGTGATCCCAAATAATACATAAATTACATTTAGCCGAATGGTTTGGTATCAAAGTTGTTTATTTGTAGAATAGGAACATATGTTTTGTAGGCAGGTAGGTATCTTGCAGATGTTTTGTGGAGCTAGTGGTTACTAGATCTGTTATGTTGTAATTATTTGTTCCGGTTTCAGAGATCCACAATGGCCAGTGTGCCAGAACATATCAACTTCCCCGCAGAGGAAGAGAAAATACTCCAATTCTGGAAAGAAATAGACGCCTTCCAGACATCAGTGAAGCAGTCCAAGGGAAAGCCCAGGTATGAGGGTGATCTCCACAGATGTTTATGATCAAGTGATGAGTGAAAACTTAAATACATGTAGAATCTTATTGATCGAGTAAACAAATGTGTAAATTAAAGTATTAGTTTTATTAGTATTTGTTGAACTTTCCAGAGGTATAGATAAGCTGCATATCTGCGTAAATTACGCAAATACTTATGTTGAAACTCAATTCCTATTAAGTCTGTTGCTTAATAGGTGGGTACAATTTCTTTGGTTACCGTACTCAAGTAAAATTAGGATACCAATTGAGATGAACACAAGTGAGTACATAACTCAATTACCCAAAAAGTTATCTGTAGCTCTGACTTTCATTGAAGGCTTCAAACTTTATAGACACAATGAAAGGCTCTGGGGGGCATCAAAGACACTTTAAGAGATGAGGTCATGATATTGCTGTTGGGCCCCTTTATCATACTTTATCAGATAATTATTTTAACTCAGGGGTATTTCACTCGTCAAATTTAAATTTGAGGAATAAAATACCAAATGGAAATAAAAGGAGGAGTATTTCACAGTTGCATGGTTTTATTATCCCCCGCAACGCGTTTTGCAGGGGGTATTAAAATGGACTCCGTCCGTGCATCAGTCAGTCAGTCAGTCCGTCCGTCCGTGCACATTTGTCTTTTCCGGAGCAGAACTCTAAAACCGTTCAATATTTCTTCACTAAACTTGGCACATACATGGATCTTGTGGTGTACTGGTGCCTTTTGGTGGTTTTGGAATTCTGAATAAAATATTTTTGGCGTTTCCATGGCAACAAGTTCGACTTAGACTGAAATTAGTGGTAGTGCTCTTTTCCGGAGCATAACTCTAAAACCGTTCAATATTTCTTCACCAAACTTGGCACATAGATAGATCTGGTGGTGTACTGGTGCCTTTTGGTAGTTTTGGAATTCTGAATAAAATATTTTTGGCGTTTCCATGTCAACAAGTTTGACTTAGCCTGAAATTGTCGTAGTGCTCTTTTCCGGAGCAGAACTCTAAAACTGTTCACTATTTCTTCACCAAACTTGGCACATAGATAGATCTGGTGGTGTACTGGTGCCTTTTGGTAGTTTTGGAATTCTGAATAAAATATTTTTGGCATTTCCATGGCAACAAGTTTGACTGAAATTGGTGATAGTGCTGCTTTCTGGAGCAGAACTTTAAAAACCTTTCAATCTCTCCTTCCACTTTTCTATATACACACCTAAATATTTGACATAATCATAACTCATAGACATAATCATGAAGAGTATTTTGCCATTGCAGGGGATATTGATGACTTTGTCTTCTTGTTACTTTTACAGGAACACATTAATACTTAGCCGCTTTGTTTCTTCTGGTTAGCCATTCTTTCTGCGGACAGGAAATGAATGACAGTGCACGTTGAGCTATTGAGCATTAAATGTTTTCCTACGCTGGTTTTGGCCATCACATAATCTACAGTAGCCCTAAAGCTGTATTATGACTGATATGGAAACCTTGTGACAGTAACGCTGTTAAAGGCTAGCTAAGACCCCATTTTGAATATGTGTGTGAAGAATGGGATGGATGTGCTCAATATCAAGCAAATAAATTAGAACAACTGCAATTAGAAGCAGCAAGAATTGTAACAGGTTTACCTAAATATGCTCATCATGAACATCTGTATTATGAAACTGGTTGGGAATCTTTAGCAGAACGTAGGAGAAAGCGTAAACTTCGCCTTTTTTACAAAATACAGAATAATATTGCACCATCGTACCTTATTGATCTTGTTCCTGGGGACGTAAGCGTCTAAATGTAGCTATAATCTTCGCAACTCTGATGATGTCTCACTTCCTTTCTCTTAATTAAAATTTTCAGATGATTCTTATTTTTTCATCCACAATTAGAATGTGGAATGAACTTCCAGTTGAAGTGAGAAAAGCGAGTCATTGAATTCTTTTTATATCGAATATTGTTATAAAACATAAAACTGCTCCTCAATACTTTGATTCTGGACCGAGAATCACTAACATCATCCTTACAAAACTACGTTACATGTGTAGTCAGTTGAATTATGTTCTATTCCGTGCTGGTTTAAGAGATAACCCAAGTTGTTCTTGTGGAAATGTTTGTGAAAATTCTTATCATTACCTATTTGACTGTCAATTATATACAGTACAGAGAACTACCATGATGATTAATTTACGCAGCATTACAAATGTGGATATAACCTATGAGTACTATTACATGGCAATGTAGATCTGACTGTTCACATAAATCAAAACATATTTAAAATTGTTCAAACATATATTTGTCATTCAAAACGATTTTCTTAATTGTTGCAATTGTTCCTCTTTTTCCCATATTTCTGTTCTGTTCTTCTCTGTCCATCTTGTAAAATGAATGTAAATAATACTATGTAAATACTACGGAGAGGGTGTTCTAAGTTGTATAACTTGTACCCAATCCTTTTCTCATGAATAAAATATGTTTAAAACAAAACAAGGGCTAGCTTTCCATAAGACAAGAAATAAAATTGGTCTGGCCTAATGTTTTTTCTAAAGTATTACACCCACCACCTTGGCTACACTCAACCACTAGTCAATCTGTAGTTTAGACTGACATAGACATATATTTTAACTATGTACCCCATCCATGTCCATGACAAATTATTCACATTTAATAAGAATGTGACGTCTATGTTTCACTTAACATTGGTTTTGAAAATCAGATTTATTTGCGTTCTTCAACAGTTTCTCTGTTTACTGATCCGTGTCTGCTCCTTGAGTTTGTGATCCGCACCTGGATTCACCTGTTGAAAGTAGCTGGAGCGTGTCCAAACCTAATTGGATGTTGATACTTTGTGTCTGAGTGCACACCTGGTGTAGAAAGTGTTGCATCAGGCAGGGTGCAGCAGAACACATGGTCACCGATGTATGCTCAAGCTTGAAAGGACCTGTGATCATATCACTGCAGTGTATTAGGGTTATAAATAATTTTTATATATTTTCCAAATTTGAAGCAGGTTGGCCATCTCCTAAAACGTTGAAGTGATAGTCCACAAGGAAATGTCGCTGCTCCTATAAGTAAGACTTGTGAATGATTAAGCAGTTGGGAAGTGGTACTGCAGTACAGTATTGTATCCCAATACAGGGCTCCAGATAACTTTTGGGGGTGTGAGTGTACTTACACATCATATTGCAAGTGGAGGTGTACTGAGAATTTTGAAGGAGTACTGACATGCTTTTGTGTGAGCGAGTTGATGTGGTTTGTCTGCACGATTCATCGATCACTATTTTCAACCATGTATTTGTATTTGAAGACGTGTGAGAAATAACTGAACGACTGTGTGATGCGGAAATGTCAGGTCCGACTGGATATAAATAGGAACAGTGTAGTTTTTAGCCAATCGAAAAATAGTGACGCATATCGTTGCATGGCAACGCAAGGGATTCCTACTGTCGGTGTTTCCTTATGTGTCAAATCGTGCTTCGCAAAAGAAACTTAACAAGTATTTATCCGAAATAGATTTCCATTTGCACGATAACACGTATGAAGGTATTTATGTACGTACACGATACGCTTGAAATCTGATATTGTGTCGTACTTAATTGATTTTGAGGCGTACATTACGCCTGTACGCCCCTTATCTGTAGCCCTGCCAATACACGGTCTGTGATACATTTCATTGATTTACAACCTGTTAGGCATTACCAATTATGCATTAAGTTATGTTGCTGAGAAATATGTAAACATTAACAAAATATTATCTGAGTGTCTGTCCTCCAATATTATATCTGTGATGTCTGAAATGTATGATCATATAATATCAACATATGAAATGGAAGGGCTGTAGGTGAATTCGTAGACCAGACTGGCTCGTAAACGTGGAAATCTGTTGGATTCGTAGGCGGATTGAGCGGTGGATTCGTAGACGTTAGAAAAATGGGGAAAGTTCAACATCAATGATGATGAAAATCGATATTATGACTTTAATGTAAACGAAAATGTAGCATTTTGTGAAATAAATAAAATATATTAGGTAAGTATGATCGGTGATGAAAATAAAATATGCTTAACTGCGGTCCACGTTTGACAAATTCCGACAAATCATAGGCCGCTTATATGTTAAATTCAGTTTGGTGAAATTAAAATATATATATTAGTTAAGTATCGTCAGTGACGAAAACCCCATGTAACATTCAACTACGCAGACCAGCAAAGAAGTAGCAGAAAACACTTCTTAAGAAAACACTTCAATATACACACAGTATTTCACAATCAAAACAACTCACCACCTCCTAATTAACATTCACAACAACTCAGTGAATCCTGTTAATCCACCCACAACAACGAAAACAGTTGGGAAATTATGATGAGTAGACTAATTTTGTCTGATCCGCTGACAAAGTTTACCTGTACAAACGCTACAGTATCTTTAGCAAATACTATTATTCAATTATTAATAGACGTCTACGAAATCACCGTCTACGAACCAGTTTGGGCTTCGAAATCACCGTCTCCCAATGGAAGCATAGGCATTCTATCACACCCAGGGTTGCTGTAGATACGTCAAACTATCGATGAATTGCAACTGCTGAGTCTCCGATAGCAATTAATCAATGGTAGAAACCAAAAACTGTCGGAACATTGATAGTATGTGTGACTATCGATGGTTTAGTAATTGACTTCCATTGATAAATGCACAGTGCGAAAAAGAGGATGTGCCACATTCGTTCACTTTAATTTAGAGTTATTCGCCCCTAATACCTCTTAAACAAACATGGCGGCAAACACGGCATGCGACTCTGAGTTTGAAATTGTAAATAACAATAAGTTTATGTTTTAACTGTTCACTTGATCTGAGTTTCTTGTCAGTTATTACAGGGGACTGAAACTACTTCAACTTGTTTATATTTCCTATAAACTATACATTCATTTGGCAAATGACTTCAAATGTGACAATTCAAGGAGAAGAAAATTATTGCAATAGACTATCGCTATCACAATAGTTGTTTTCCCCGTCAATAGTCACTTCTATTAAGTATTGTAGCATGACCTATGTCACTTAGGATGCTACAAATATCAAATTCTTCAAAGGCATTTAGAAGTTGGTGTAGTAATACAACCCAAATCTTATGGATAACAACTTCTTGATTTATTTTAGACAACGCTTCTGGGCTAGTTCTTGCCCTTTCGTCAGGTGGATCAATATCTTTTGATCCACCTGACGAAGGGCAAGAACTAGCCCAGAAACGTTGTGTAAAATAAATCAAGAAGTTGTTATCCATAAGATTTGTCTTGTATTGCTAGAAATATATTTTGGAGCTGAATTTGAATGTGTATCTGATAAACAGATTGACCTGAATCATCCGGTTGTGGACAATAAACCACTTTCGAGGATAGACCAGAATATTTGGAGGTCATTCAGATGATTTCAGTTTTGACATGTTTGTTAAACTGTTCATTCCTTTTTTAAACCACTATTTGTGACTATTTAATTGAGTATGAAAATAACTGTTATCCGTACATATTATAAGGATGAAATTGAAGTTTGGAATTAATCTAGAAAACTTATGGAGCCCATCCTCTACTCAACTAAGTAATAGTTCACATAATCACAATAACCAAGGCCTTTGTACATAATCATGATATTCATCATGATAGGTGACAGTTTACCTGTATGTGGTTAGTTGAGTGAGTGAGTTTAGTTTTACGCCGCTTTTAGCAATATCACAGCTGGGGACACCAGAAATGAGCTTCACACAATGTACCCATTAGTGTTGGGAATTGGTTAAAATCTTGTAATTGATGACTGGTTCATTACAACCGATCAATCATCGAAAATAATTGGTTAGCGTCATTTATGAAATTTTCCTGGTTATTTTTGTTAATGCGTAAAAACATAAAGAAAATACATGCAGTTCCTTGGGGTGATTTTTGCAAATGTCACATCTTTAAAGGATGACTAGTATGTTAGGAACATACATTTCTTGTCGTCTTTAAAATAAATTCAGTTGTGACTTGGAACGAGCATGTTGTGTTCATGAAATGTAACAGACAAAACCAACGTGTGAAAAATATTGTTAATGCAAAAAGTGTTCCAGAATTGTTTGTGTTCGATTATGAGAAAACATGATCGATTGCTTGGTCATTTAGTCATTGCGACCAATCTTCTATTTTTTCAATTAATCGGACCACCACTACCGGTAGTACCCATGTGCCGAATTGAACCCGGTCTTCGGTGTGACGAGCTAGCACTGTAACCACTTGGCTACCCCACCACCGCGGTTAGTTGAGAGTTTCCTCCCCTTACTGTGCTTATCCATGTGTATGGTTTGTGGATGGGTTGATGATGCACACTCTGCTTTTTTCTGACACATTACCTATGTTTTTCCCTTCTTATTTTGTTGGGGTTACTTGAGACTTGACTAGTTTTCATCCGCCCATAAACATGATGAAGATTCATGTTAGAATTGGTCTTCAGCAAACTATGCTTGTGTAAATAATATTAGATGGTAAGGTTTGTTGACGTGGTTGACCGATGCTCATGATGTTGATCATCAGATTGTCTGGTCCAGACACCACTGCCATAAAGCTGGAATATTGCAAAGGGCAGCGTTGAACATTGATCAACAAACTAGTTTGCATCGCCCTATAATTCAAAGTTCTCTTGACCCGTGATGATTCGGGTTAGAATTGATCTTCAGTAACCCATGCTTGTCATAAGAGGCGACTAATAGGATCGGGCAGTCAGACTTTATTGACACGATATCATATCCCAATTTTGTACATTTAAGCTCATGCTGTTGACCACTGAATTGTCTGGTCCAGACTCGATTATTTAGAGACCACCGCCATATAGCTGGAATATTGCTGAGTGTGGCGTAAAATTGAACTCAGTCACTCAACGTTCTCTTTCTTTCAGTCTTTTCTTCTGAGTTATTTTCAAATTTATGTAGGGCGGTGGGGTAGCCTAGTGGTTAAAGCGTTGGCTCGTCACGCCGAAGACCCGGGTTCGATTCCCCACATGGGCACAATGTGTGAAGCCCATTTCTGGTGTCCCCCGCCGTGATATTGCTGGAATATTGCTAAAAGCGGCGTAAAACTAAACTCAGTCAGTCAGTCAGTCAAATTTATGTTTTACTTTCCAGGTTTTCATTCTATGATGGGCCACCATTTGCAACAGGGCTGCCACATTATGGCCACATCCTGGCAGGAACCATCAAGGATGTTGCCACTCGGTGGGCACATCAGAGCGGCTTCCATGTTGAGAGGAGGTTTGGCTGGGATTGCCACGGACTGCCAGTGGTAGGTGGACAAGATCAGATGTAACTTGGCCTCAGATGAGGTTTGATGTTTCTAGGTTTGGGGAAATATGGTGCCAAGGGCCCCTACATGTAGGGCCCTGAAAATTTCAATGCATAGAAATAGAAAAGAAAACATAATAATAAAATCACTGCAATTTAACATGTTTAAATATGAACTTTGACAGGTTGAACATGCTCAGGTAAGTTTCTCTCATCAGTTTTATTTTGATCACCCACCATATCTCCTCATCGCATCTGCCTTTTGGTCGGCCTGCTTTCTGCCATGCTTGACGACCATGTGTAAGCTAAATATGAAACAAATTATTTCATTGGCTGATGAATAGTTTTCAATGCAAAACTGACACAAAGATATGCAACGACGAATCTGATTGGCCGCGAGCTAATGCATTCAAAATGACGGCATGAACATCTTGTTTGTCATGTATTGCAGATGAAAAATATGTTTATTCACGGCATATTGATAAAGTGATAACTTTCTTTGAAGGTAGGTTTCTTTTAAAATAGGACGCTTCATTAGGGACGCGCTGTAAGAAATTTTATGCAGCATGTGAAAAATTATTGCTTGACTCCCGCAAGCCGTGCTCGCGGCACAACACTGTGGTTGGTTGTGTCACTGAGACTTTTCTCAATATTTTATCATCCACTAGTTTGCAGTGTTCAAGATGTATGCTGTATCTGAATATTTACATAATATGCCAGTCAAGTTAGGTACAGGCTGTCATTATAACATAAACTATATTGACTATTGAGTGGTCAGGTTTGATATCATAGTTGATTACATGTCAACCCACCGAGCCAGCATTACTTACATCTTATAAAATATATCTTGCTCAAAGTCAAGTAGTTGACATTTTAACAGGCTGTTGTCATATAGCTTGAATATTCGGTTATAATTTTCCTGATGATCTAAATGTGTTTGTACTGTGTTGATTACAGGAGTATGAGATAGACAAGACTCTGGGCATCAAAGGACCCGAGGATGTGGCAAAGATGGGGATCGAGGCCTATAACGCTGAATGCCGCAAGATCGTCATGAGATACTCCAACGAGTGGGAGGTAAGGGAAGTCAGAAAAATTCCAAGTTTCTGCTCATGAATGGTTTGAAAATTGCTGACATGAAACAAATGTATTATCTGCAGATATGTTTCCACAAATGTTGATTTTTGTTATGGTTCCATTTTGTTAGACATCCACAGAACAAAAAGTGGTGGTGGTAGGGAAGTTCGAAAAATTCTAAGCATCTGCTAAAAAGATGTCAACTTGAAATTGAGATTTGTATCTGCTAATACATCTCTACAAATGATGTACATTTTGTAAGGCATCCATAGAATGTCATTTCAACATTGCTTCATGTTTCAGACCATTGTGACTCGTCTAGGGCGCTGGATTGACTTCAAGAACGACTACAAGACAATGTACCCCTGGTTCATGGAGAGTATCTGGTGGGTGTTCCAGCAACTCTACAACAAGGGGCTCGTATACAAGGGCTACAAGGTGAGCTAAATACCAGTTGTTCAGAGTGTTACCTTGAAATTACCTATCAGTATGATCATTGAATTTGTCTGCAGTGTTTTCCTGAGGCATTTTTAGCAGGTTGCAGCCCTGCCTTTTTTATCCCCCCGGCATGTAATGCGGGGGAATATAGTTGACGCCTCATCCGTCTCTCCGTCCGTCCGTCCATAATCATTTTGTTTCTGGAGCATAACTAAAATAACAAAAATTGGTAGATATATCAAATAGAACATAAGGTTGTGCCTTTTGCTATTTACAGATTATTGTCATTTTTATTTTTCTCTGTTTCCATGGAAACATATTGGACTTAGTCTTAAAGGGAGGGGTGGGCTTCGTTTCTGGAGCATAACTCCAAAACCGTTCAATATTTTTGTGAAAGAATTTGTAGATATATCAAAGAACCTGAAGTGGGGCCTTTTGCTATTTACAGATTTTTGTTACTGATATTGATGACTTTATCTTCTTGTTGTGTTTTGTCTCGAGACACTGTCACATATGTTTATCTATCAATTAACTTCTGGATTTTATAGCTATTATGTACATCACATACCACAATGTCAACTGAGAGCTGGTGAGACATGGACACACTCCTTCGTCACATACTGTTCCTGCCACTTGTGATTTGCATATCTGTGCACTAATGATACTAATGTTTCAATGAGGTATTTATTGCATAAGAATTTGAAGAAAAGCAAACCTTGACTTGACTTTTAAAAAGATAAGAAGACCTAAAAGTGTCAAAATATATAAAGGTCTGGTTCACTTTAGTCCAGGCTGGTTCATGACATTTTATCCTGACCATACTGACTGGACACTGATGTCTTCTCTGACCTTTGATCAGGGGCGGTGGGGTAGCCTATAGGTTAAAGCGGTCACTCGCCATGCGGAGACCCGGGTTCGATTCTCCACATGGGTACAATGTGTGAAGCCCATGTCTGGTGTTCCCCGCTGTGATATTGCTGGAATATTGCTAAAACCAAACTCACTCACTCTCTCACTCTGATCTCTGATCTGCTTGTTTCCTAGGTGATGCCCTACTCGACAGCCTGCAACACCCCCCTGTCAAACTTCGAGTCGGGACAGAACTACAAGGAGGTCACAGACCCTGCTGGTGGGTTCCCCTGAGACTGTTTACTCTCTTTTCCTACTCAGCTACTTCGGCTGTGGATAATAAAATCCATCAAGATCCGGGTTAGAATTGGTCTTCAATAACCCATGCTTGTAAGACGCAACTAATGGATCGGGTGGTCGGCTCGCTGACTTGGTTGGTACATGTCATAGTACCCCAATGGTGTTGATCCAGTCACTGGATTGTCTTACTCGTGAAGATCCGGGTTGGAATATTGATCTTCAGTAACCCATGCTTGTCGTAAGAGGCGACTAACGGGATCGGGTGGTCAGGCACGTGACTTTATTGACACATGTCATCGGTTCCCAATTGCGCAGATTGATGCTCATGCTGTTGATCACTGGATTGTCTGGTCCAGACTTGATTATGTACAGACCGCCGCCTATAACTGAGTGCAGCGTAAAACTGAGCTCACTCACTGGATTGTCTGGGCCTGACTTGGTTATTTACATAACACCATCATAAAGCTGTAAATTCTGAGATTCTTTATTTCATTTTGGATGGCAAAATGTGCTCATGGTTCAGCCAACATGAGTTATTGTCACTGATACAAATCCAACATCACTTATATCTGGGTGTCGTATATTTCAGTAATCATCAGTTTCCCATTGGAGGAGACTCCAGATGTGTCCATCATCGCCTGGACAACCACTCCATGGACGTTGCCTAGCAACCTCGCATGCTGTGTCAACGGAGACCTGGACTATGTCAGAGTTAAAGGTCAGTGAGATTTCATCTCTTTCAGGACCTCTATAAACATGTGGCTAAAGTTTTGTCAGTAAATTCTGCTTGTCTAATGTTTGTAAATATTGAGGGTCTTTTACAATAAGTTGCCAGCTCATCTGAAAATAAGTATCTATTTCAATGTATCAATGTATCAGTAGGGCTGAAATATAAACAGAGAAAACTGTGATCCAGTGTGTCAAAGGCCTGAAACTGTTATTGATAACTTATTCATGGTTGTAATCAAGTTTCTTGGCTACTTCAAGGGGCAGTTGGGTAGCCTAGAGGTCAAAGCGTTCACTCGTCATGCCCACGGGGGTACAATGTGTGAAGCTCATTTCTGGTGTCCCCCCTGTGATATTGCTTGGAATATTGCTAAAAGCATAAAACCAAACTCACTCACTCATTTGGCTGCTTATGGACATTCATACGGGAATCATAGATCTCTACCCATGAAGTTCCGTGTAAGAATAGACCTTCAGCAACCCATGCTTGTAAGAGGCGACTAATGTGATTGGGTGGGCAGGTTGAATTGGTTGACGCATGTCATAATATCCCAACTGCTCATGCTGTTGATCACTGGATTGTCTGGTTCAGACTCGATTATTTTCAGACTGCCGCCATATAGCTGGAAACTTATCCTATCTCACGGTATGCACCTCTCTTCTTCTACGACCATGTGTGGAAACTAGGCTAAGTTGAATCAAAGCTTTCTGGCCTCTACCCCCCTGACCTCTGCCCCCACACCGATAGCACGACCTGTCAATCATCTCATAATCGTACAGGTTGCTCAGATGATCACGTGACGCTCTGTGCCTGTCATTCTCTTTCTTGTCGCTACACCGAGTGGATGTATGTTGTTTTCTCAGACATCATTTGATTGTCAGTATGGGAAATAAATTGAATCGAAGTTCTTCTAAGAAACGCAACCTTTGTGATCAGTAGCGACTTTTCCACTGCTGATCCACACGCTTTGTGTGTGGATTGTATAGGTTGTTGTAGTTGGTCACATCGGTGTTCTGATTGTTCACGCTTGAATGATGATGATTTTTCTGAATATTGACGGGTTGCATCTAGATGTAGATTGGAGTTCGGCGTACAACTGCTGAAGGTCCTTCAACCTCTAAGTGTGCTACATCAGAACGCCATTCGAAGAGAGACGGACGGAGATTTTTTAGAGGTGGCCTCAGACTCTTCCTTGAGCGAGTATCTCCGTCGTCTCTTTCGTCCTCAAACGTCTAGTCCCATCTCCAGACAGGTTTTATCTCCTCCAAGAGTGGTAGTGCTAACAACCTCTGCAGCACAGTCTCGGCCTTCTATCTTGGTGACGATTTCACAGACTTCTAGTTTGTCTCAGGTGGTTGTTTCCAGTGCACCGCTTTGGTTGAGTGCTCCACCCCCCTCTGCTATGGTGGGTGCGCTTGGTGAAAGCGTTCAGTCTCATGCGGCGAGTGCAGTCAGTTTGGCGCTTTCAACCACAGGGATCAGTTCGGCGCTTCAACCTATGCGCCGCTTACTTGCAATACAGCGTTTTGTTCCAGTTCAGTGCTCTCATATCTTTCTGTGGTGACATCAGTCATGACGGCAGTATCCAGCGGCGCTTTCAACACCTTTCCCTTCATTTTTTCAGAGAGATCGCCCTTGGGGTACATATTATGCATTTTCCGCTGAAAATGTCCTGTGACAGTTGTATCAATGTTTTTGAATAAAAGATTGTACAATAAATAAACTCTTTTATTTATTATAATGGACCCTACCTCACGGAGTTACCTCCCCTTAGCGCACGCGCATTCAACTGGGTAGGCTCCTAGACCCGTGATCATCATTCCTTCTGCTGTCACGGCCGCGGAACAGACGGTTTGATAACCCATTCATGAGCCGCACGGCGCTGTTAAAAGATATGTCTGAGACACCACCTGTATGTATGGTCTTTATTTGTCTAAAACAAGAACAGTAAAGCTTTACAGTTGGTTGTTTCATAATTGTGACTTTGTATTAATACTAAATACGCCGAACTTTTCCCGCGGGTTACGCGACGTGTTGCTCTGCCATGGCGGGAAGTTTAGCGCGCCATGTGGTCGTAATATTGGCATTAAAACCAACTATTACTTTCCGTGGTAACCTTCACGAAGTTTTTCAATGTTTTCTACGGTTTATATGCTGCTGGTCGCCGCTCACTAACACGTTTTATGCGGTTTGTTCAGGCCTTTTCATGCTGTTCGGTCTGTGAGGGGAGTATCCCCGGGCCGACAGTCATCATACGAAGCTGGCGCGTGGCCTGTCTGGAGAAGACAGGCCATGAGGCTGACTCCTGTCCTATTTGTCTGGCCTTTTCCCCGGCCCAGAAGAGGCGGGCTGCCGACACCTTGTTCTATCGCTAAATGCGCGGAGGCGGAGGGGACCTGACGCAGGTTCCCCGCCTAAGTCCAAACGCAGGTCAAAAAGGGAAAAAATCCCGCGGGCCCTTCCCTCTCCTGCCACTTCGAAAGTGGTTTTGACATGTCACTGATGGAGTCTATGTTTCAGCAGCAGATGGACTCGATGAAGTCCTTCGCTCGCGGAGTCGGTTGGAGGTCTCCGCAGGAGTTCTCACCCACTCCGGACGGGGCGGAGAGTCCGGGTGGGATCGCCTGGCTCGCTCGCTCGATCCCCTCGGCCTTGAGGCGCCTGTAGATCCGCTGCCTCTGGCTTCGATCCGACGCCTCGGCTGCTCCCGAGAGGGAGGGGCTCCCAGTCCCCCTCTCGAGCTCGCGCAGGGCCGCTGAGTATTCCTGGTATTCCGGGTCTCTGCGCACACCCGCCCCCATGAGAGCCGGAGGCACCAGTTCTGCCTGGCCTGCCTCCAGCGCCTCGGGACCGGGTCCACGCACGCCGGGCTGGCGCTGACGTGGAGCAGTCTGTCTGTTCTTCCCTTCCTGTGGTTCCTAGCGCTAGGCAGTCCACCGGGTCGGGTTAGGGTCCTCTTTACGGAGGAGACCCAGCCTCTGACTCGGCTCGGACGCCGAGGCAATGGAGCTTGGGGAGGTCGAGGAGCATGACGGCGCTTCCGCTTTGCTTCGCCTTGCGGGAGGTCCGCAGAGAATTGCCGAGGGCCTACCCCAGGCCGCGCGGTGCCTGCTGGTAGCGTGGACTCGACTGAGTTCCGCTTTGCCTGGCGCAGGCGCTTGCCCCTAGGCAACCCTCACAGACGCAGCCCGCGATTCTGCCATCGCTGGTCTCTCGACGGGTCGATCCCTCTGTCTGGTGCCCAGTAAGGTTTGACTTACCTGAACTCGCGGCGGCGCTACCAGCTTGGGGAGGATTCCCTGTTCGCTGTACCGATTGTTGACGAATGTGTTTTCACTTCCGCCGCCTCTGGGGAGGCTCGGCTTCCTCCCGAGCAGCCCGCTGCTCGGCAAGGGCTTTAACTCCACCTTTTGCCCTCGCTGGCGCTTCTGCGGCACGCTGCATCGACCTACGAGGAGGTCTACCGAACGCCGATGCAGCAGGTGCGGTGGTGGTCCATGAGGCCTACCTCACCTCGGTTCAGAGGTCGGCCCTGAGGCGAGGGGCATGCTGGCGACGGTCGCCGCGATGTCGCGGCTGCTCCGCCAGCTGGAAGTGCAGGCTCACCCGCGACACTTTGGCGGTCTGCTGCGCCGACGGTGATGTGCGCAGTCATGGGGATGCGCCGCTGTGGCTGTCGACGCCTAGGTACTCGGCAGCAACACAGCAGACCTTGCTGGCCCTCCCTTTCCGCCTGGGAGCCACCCTCTTCCAGGGGCCCAGCAGGTCATACGGGAGGCTGCCGCTGCAGCTACCTCCTTCAAGGACTCTAAGGCCTTGTTGGAGCACCCGCTGGGTGTCTCGCCCGGCCCGCGCCACCTTCCTCCGCCGGGTGCAGCCTACACCGAAGTTCGCCGGGCTGGCTTCGCCGCTGGTAGGGTAGGCGGAGGAACAGGTCCGCCAAGGGGTAGGGCAAGGAGCAGTCCTCGACCAGCTCCCAGCCTTTCGCTGGCGCTGGAGGTCTGCCCCGACCTCCCCGCTAACCCATCAGGCTGCCGCCAAGCCGCGGTGTCACGCCCAGTCAGCTCCGCTACTCGGGTCCACACACGCCGCTCCTACCCCATATCCCAGTGGGAGGTCCGCTTCTCTATTCCTGCCGGAATGGGAGAAGGCTACCAACAACGCTTTGGGTGCTGGCCACGGTCAGCATAGGCCATCTCCCACTGTGGAAGCGAGGTCCGCCCCGACTTCACCGGGCATACGCCGCGACTCGTGCCGCCATGTCAAGCCAGGGCGACATATTGCGCCGACGGTTCAGGCTCTGCTGGACAAGTCCGCAATCGAAGCGCATTCCACCGAGAGGAACAGGCGGGATTTTATTCCACGCATTCCTCGCTCCGGAAGAAAGACGGCGGGTTCCGGTTCCTCCGATTCTCAACCTCAAGGGGTTGAATCGCGATGCTCAAGTACCATCCTTCAAGATGGAGACACTGGGCGCCGGTGATCTCATCTGTTCAGCCCGGCGATTGGCTCACGCCAATCGACCTAAAGGATGCGATTCAGATGTACCCATACATCCCTCGCTCAAGCAGTACCTTCGGTTCTCTTTACGACGGGATGTATTACCAATTCAGGGTGCTCCCCTTCGCATATCGACTGCCCCAAGGGTGTTCACCAAGCTCATGTTAGTCCCAGCTACCCTAGCTCGCCGCTAAGGAAGGCGTTGTTACCCTTACCTAGACGACTGGTTGCTCGGAGCACTAACACAGCCAGCGAAGTCAAGATGCTACTCACACAGTGATAGACATTCTAACTCGACTGGGGTGGATCATCAACCTCAAGAACCGACCTGGTACCCACCCAGGACTTGGTTTTTCTTGGAGCGATTCCAAACGTAACAAGGATCTCGCTTCTTTGTCGCCCGACCGGGTCACCAGAGTTCGGGAGATGGTCTCTTCATTCCTCTCCCAGCCCCAGGCACCAGCACGGACTTGGCTCCGCCTACTGGGCCA